TTCTCATACTTAAGGCTGGTAGAAGGAAAAGGGATTATAGTACCAGAAGTAGAAGTATGAGCCATTAAACCATGTTCAGAGATTGTAGCATTTGGACTAGGGTTACTTGAAGAAGCTGCAGGCTCTTGAACTTGAACTTGAGCTTGAAACTGTGAGATCATTTGTTCTATTTGCTGAGGAGAAAAATCTTGAAGATTTGAATGATTTCCACCTTGTGTAACATATGGCAACTGATATACATTGGTTCCAGGGGTACCATACGGATTCATCATCATAGTATTGTAGGGATAGCCATCAGACGGATAAGCACCATTCTCTGTATAGACATGAGCCACTGCATTAGCTTTCTGCATTGAGTTTGCATATGGCATCATTTGAGATGGAAATTGCATCCGAGGCTGATTTTGTATCATTGGTCCCCTTGGCTGTACCATTAACTGAGGATTAGTCTTATAAGGATAACCCTGACCAGCTATCTTCATTCCAGGTGGATAACCATGTACTTTGTAACATTTCTGAATAGTATGTCCCACTTTCCCACAGTGAGAACACACTGGTTTCTGAGATGGTCTAACAGTGTTGTAAGCTGCAACATAAGCATTATCAACATCATTCATCATGGGTGCAACACTCTGAAAAGCCACATTATCAACACAAGTAGTTGGTTTCACAGTCTTTTGGCGTTCATCTTGAGTAACAATGTTAAAAGCCTCCTCAATTGTGGGAATAGGTTTAAGCATCAAGATGTGACGTCTAGTCTGATCAAAACTTTCATTCAGTCCCATAAGGAACTTTGTAACTCGGCTTCTCTGTTGCAAACTTTCCCATTTAGCAGCTGCATCACATTCACAATGACCACAAGTACAGACTGGAAGTTCTACATAATTCCTATGTTCTTCCCAAAGAGTAAGTAGAGTAGTATAATATGTGGAGACATCCATAGATCCCTGCTCTATCTTACTAAGTTTCTGCTCTATATCAAAAATGCGTGGAGCATCATCTTGCTTAAAACGCATCAACAAATTGTTCCATATACCTTGAGCCGTAGAAATGAATAGTAGACTCTGACCAATTTTCTTGTCAACAGAATTCATCAACCAAGTACTAACAATGTCATTGCATCTAGACCAAGCACCAAAATCACGATGATCTTCAGGTGGTTTCGAAATCTTACCATTAATGAACCCCAATTTGTTTCTGATATTCAAAGCCATTAAGATCGAGCGACGCCAAGAATGAAAATCAGAAGCAGTCGTTAAACGATCCGAAACAAGAATAAGTCCAGCATGATCCGTACTATGTAGATAATATGGATTCTCGTATTGATTAACTGGATAAGAAGACTGTTCACCGGCGTTAATCGGAGGACGAACCACCGGAATCGTAGATGGAGGTACATAAGTTCCCATTCTCAGTTTAAGAACAAGGAATTACAAAGAAAGTGAGACGAATTTGGATAAAGAAGCAAAGATTCGTCAACACTAGAGGTCAAGCGAAAGAAATCAAAGAAACAGAACGGAGAAATAGATTCCGGTGAACTGAGAAAAACAAAAGAAAATCGCAGAAAGCGATGATGAAGAAATCAAAAGATTCAAAAGAAATCAAACCGAGAAAATCTCTCTTCCGATGAAGAAGATGAATGCGGAAACTTCAGATTTAAGCTCTGATACCATAATAAACTCCGATACATCGGAAGTTTATCATCGGAAAAGAGAGAGAATGAAGAAGCTGTAACAAACTTTTTATTCAACCTTAAAACTCTGTTTACAACAACTTAACCACTCTAATAACAACGTCATTAAGCTTATATACATAAGATTAAACCAAGATCAATAACCGGAAATAACCAACTGTAAACCGGTCCATATATCTCCAATATTACACACAAAATATACCCCAAATTTTGATAGTAATATGATTAGTTCTGTAGCTACATGCAAACTTATTTAGTGATTTTTATGTGATACTTTACTGTCTTAAAGTATATATGTATCTAGATATAGAAGATCCGATTAACAATATGCGAGTGAGCATTTCTTCATGAATCATGATTAGAAACTTTCTTATGAAAAACAATGAGCAACACTTTTATGGGTCACTAAGGGTTCGTGAGTTAACCCCATGCCTCCTTTGTGTGTGTGCCATAGGTAGTGGAAAAGGGAATCTACTGATGTTAGAGGGTGGAGCAGTTCCTTCGACCCACAAATCTGGACGATGTAGGCCCAAATTTCACCTCACCCCACCATTTTTGTAGACTTTTCATTCCGGTCCCATAATTTTACATTTCGTTGGTCTAACCCGTCATTCATTGATTCTTCACCTTTTTGACAAGGCTACTTAACCCTTTTGCTCTTTATCGATTTGTGATAAAATATTAGTCACACCTTAAAATTCAATGTTTTTCTAGTCAACACCATCTAATTCAACCTTTTTTTCAACGCTAATTAAATCGAAATTTACATACTTTTAGATTTAGGACTAGCTAGCTAGATTATCCCAGTTTTATCGAAACTTTTTTCAACAAAAAAAATTCATGCAAAACAAGCAACCACAGATAAAACACTTGGATCAAAACCCAACTAATCACGGATGAGTATCTTCTCTCTTTTTATATTTTGTAATTGTCATATTTAATGTTTTAATTAATCACGATGAAGGGAGCTTTTTAACTATTAGTGAATTGACTTGTAAACAAAAGGAGGTAGTCAAATGAGAACAACGACAATAGTATAAGGTCTTAGACTAATTAATATCTTCGAGATACAAAATCAATTTGATTATTATTATTTTATACGTCATCTCTTAGATCATCTACCACGGGCCTCATGGACATGGACATTGACATCATGACTCATGAGTTTGGTTTGTGTAAAGTTTAAAAAAAAATATAAACACAACACAAATCGATCAATTCATTACATTTCTATGTATAAAATTTAGAATCAATTACCGATTTTACCATTTTTTATAGTGGCATTTATAAATTTTGCTATTTTTTGAATAGTTTGTGGATTTTGCCATTTTTTAGATTTTAAAAAACTGACTTAACATGCGTTTCACTCGTTATATTTGAGTTTAGTCTGTTTCATTTGTTCTTACAGTTTAGTATTTGGTATAAAGTACGTATTCTTACAAAAAAATCATAAATACATATATTTTTTTTTTTTTTGTCATCCGAAATTAATTAAAGCTCAAAAGAGCCATTCCTGAGGAATGTTATTTACATAAGTGATATGAAGCGGTTCTGTACGAACTTTTCGTGCCAGATTATCCGCCTTAACATTAGCCCTACGAGAAATTAAAGATAAAGAAAAAGATGAAAACTCCTCCTTGTTGCTCTGAAATTCCTCCAAATACACTAAAAACGCCGGCCATTCGGTTGGAGAAGACACCATCTTCACCAGGTCTGAACAGTCTGTAAGTATATATATATTTTTAAGTATTGGAAAATGACAAAAACCGTAAATTATTCAAAAAATAGCATTTTCGTAAGATTTTTTTTTTAAATGACATTTTACTATTTTAGACAAGAATCCCTAAAATTTATTAAAACATGTAGTAAACAGAATAAAAAATATTAGCTGCTTATAATGACGAACATATAGATAGATTTATATATATAATAATAATAATAATTTACTAGATATATATATACTATATAGTAACAAAAGAAATATAGAATGAGAACAAAATGGAAATAATTTGGTGTAAATATATATAAGTTGATTTTGTTTATGGAAAATGTTTATATAGAAAGAAATAAAGGGAAAATTAAACAAAACTCTGATGTAACTACATCTGCTTCCACATAAAATTCTGATAGGTTAGACTTCTATTTAATAGCAATTTGAAAAAGTATATTATTCATAAATGTTGCATTAAAGTTTTTGATTTGTGGTAAACATCAGTCTTTATACATTAGTATTAATTATTAATATTCGTTGAAAAGTTTTAATTAAGTATCAACTAATTTATACGCGTTTATTGTTTAAAAAGTTTAGTTCCATGATAGTTCAAATCATTTCCACTACAAATTTAATCAAAGTTAACCACAACAAATGACAAGGATTAGGCTGGATTTATCTTACTTGGAATTATTTGATAATACATAAAGAAAACGATAGTAGTACTTTTGTAATTCAGAATAGATACATAATTGGAAGTCATTTTATGTAATACGGCAAGATAACTCTTTTGTTCCGCGCCGTCCTTTTGTTGTCCCAAGGAACTATTGTGCGTAACATCAACCCCAAAAATGTAGACCATGTCATAACTTTTTGAAAGAACTTAAAAAACTGACCTGTTTTTAACAAAGGAGCTTTCTTTAACCTTCGCTTAATTGCACCGCTAATGCTTCCAACAAATGTAAAACATATTCCATCAGATTCTGTCTTTTCCTTATAAAAGTTTTAGAGATTTCTTTCTATTCCAATTTTTTTGTGTGTTTTACATCTAAAATATAACAAACAAACCTTTTTTTTTTTTGGCCAAATGTAAGAAAAACAAATCTTTTCAAATTTTCTACAGTTTACTATTATTTCACTAATCGTAAAATATCGATTATTGTCTCATTTTATAGTATTCTTTATCTTTTATCTTTTTTTTTACAGCTTTATAATATTTTTTAATCATGTGTACCATATTTTGACAAAATAAACCATCTTATATAAATAACACAAAAAGTCAAGAACAACATAACTAGTGTGCGGTAACTTTTTACATTTTTTAAAAAATTGTACTTATTTGAGAAAACTTAAGTTTCAACTCTGTCTACTAAAATTTTGAAAATCACATAAAAATCAGGATTTCTGATTTCATATTTAAAATAGCATGTTATATATTTAAAACAATCATGTATTCGATAATAATATAATAAAAGTTAAAAAAAAAAAATACCAATTCAAAATACACTATTTTATGGCGATCAAAAACATCATTATTTTTTTTTTTCAATTTCATCGCCAAATCTTGCCATCTCTACTTAATAAAAATCATCAAATTAAACTCTTTTGTCCAAAAAAATTTCAAAAACTCGGTGGAATAAGAAACGGGCAAAGAGGGACCAGAATTTTAGCCACGTCAGCTTTTAAGAGATTGCCACATCATCACCATAAGTCTCTCCCACCTGTACGGATCCCTTTCCCGGTTGCCCCAATATAAATTGGAACCAAACTCTCCTCAGAAAAACCTTCTCATTACACTTGCATGTGCAGCGACCCGACCCGGCCCACATTTCTAACCCATTTTCACCTTTTTCTGTTTCCGCCGCCGACTGATCGATCCCGAGAGAATAACTGAATCTTTCACCGGAGTTCTACGCCGATGACGATTGCGGCAGCACAAGCACGCCAGACAGATCGATCAGCCACTGGTTTCACTTTCGCAACGACGGCGAAGGCGGTGGCTGTTCCGGTTCAAGTTCCACCGGGAACTGTGGTTTCCGAAGGATTAGGTAAGGATGCGTTAATCTCATGGTTCAGAGGAGAATTCGCGGCGGCGAACGCGATAATCGACGCGATGTGCTCGCACCTTAGGATAACTGAAGAAGCGGTGTCTGGATCGGAATATGAAGCTGTTTTCGCGGCGATCCATCGCCGGCGTCTGAATTGGATCCCTGTTCTTCAGATGCAGAAGTATCATTCCATCGCTGAAGTCGCGATCGAGCTTCAGAAAGTGGCGGCTAAGAAAGCGGAGGATCTGAAACTGAAGAAAACAGAGGAGGAGGAAGATCTGAAAGAGGTGGCGGCGGAGGAAGAGGAAGTGAAGAAGAAAGATTGTTTTAACGGCGAGAAACTAACGGAAAATGACGTAAACGGAGATGTAGAAGACGTTGAAGATGATTCACCAACTAGTGATATCACTGATTCAGGTAAGTAAAAAACTTGACAATTTTCAAAAAGAAATATATATTTTCTTGGATCCAGAATTTTCTATATAATTTATCAGAAACAATGATAGGTTTTTTCATATAATTATTGTCTTTTTTGTTTGTTTTGAAACTTTTTAAAAGCATATTCTTTGAAGTTTGGTCATTTGATTCTCTGTTCACTGTGTGTAAACTGGCTCTCTGTGGTTGGTGACGATTATAAAAAAAACTCCATTACAATTATGAGAATGAGTTGAAAATAGTTGTTTTTGATTTAAAAAATATATTTCATGTTTAATTAAGAAGAAAATAATAATATTTGATTAAATTTTTAAATATATAGTATTTCTCAGACTAATTCAATTTTCAAGATTCAAGTACGTGTTTCCCTCTACTGGATCCGAGATGCATTCTAAACAATTTTGACTTTGCTTTCTTAATTAGGAGTACTAATTTTTTAAGATTATTTTCTTAATATATCAATCGTGAGATTTTGTTTGCATCATTATGCCAGAGATTCGATTTTTAGAAACTATTTTACCAAAAATAACAGATTCTTTCTAAAAAAAGAATCTTTTTTTTTTAATGTTCCACAGTAATCACTTACACATCCTGATTTTTTTCATACCATGTTTGAAAAACTATCATTTATATATCTTTTGTAATACAAAAGATTATATAATAGTTGAAGACGAATATTTTACTGAAAACTAAGCATTAATTTAATTTAATTTATTTTTAATTACCCTACTGTTAACGTGTGTGAAAGGGATTATATGATAAGTTTAATGATATATTAATATATTTTGTTGCCGGCTACTCAGTGGTTTTATATATTCTTTTCTTCAAAAACTGATTTATGAGGACGAAATAATTATAGCATAACTATTACTTTAGTTATGCAAGTACTTGAAACCAGAGTCGAAAATCGAGACCTTATTATTTACTAAAAGGAATAAAAATTAACACAAACTTTCATGAAAATCGTACAAAAGTACAAATCTATTGTAGTTGTGTTGAAAAGGCATAATCTGAAAAAGTTTCTCTGACTTCTACAAGGTAAAAGAAGACCCAAAAACGTCATTACGACGTCGTTTGGATGTAGAAGATTAGGATTCCTATTCTCAATGTATGTTAGTAGTACTAGTAGGCACAATTTTGTTGTCTTGTGCCTTTAGTTGATGTGTGTAACTGTAAAACGCATCAAAGGTATCAATCTCACATTGATTCGCGTGGTGATGATTTTATTGCAATTTTTATTCGAATAGTAGTGAGCTCATCGTAGCCGTTGGATTTAATTAAAAATCGAGTCGTCATCAATTATGGTCCCCACGATTTTCCGTGCCGCCCTTTAACTTTGTTTCTCTTCTCGTCCCGAATGTTCGAATCCCTCACGACTCACGAGCACATTTTTTTCTCTTTAACTTTAAAACTTTTTGCTTTTTGTTCACGGCCATAAAATAAGTTAGAAGTCTAAAAAGATTTTTCTAGTTTTTGTTAAAGATCTTTTTACCAGTCTAGTGAGTTTTTCTTCGTGATATGTGTGTAGTTAATTCACTCGTGTTGAATGTCGTAAGTTTAGGTAAAGACACGTGGACGAAGACATTAGACTTTGTAGTCTTGTCTTCTACATTGAAAGTCTCTGACTTTCTCTGATACATTTTACAAGGGAACTAACTAGGGCATCTTCAATGGGGGATCATGTGAGGGTGTTCTTATAGAGAATATAATGTTAAAATAATGTAAGATCATGTGTTTAGATCTTTTGTTTAGAAGTTGATTAGTGGGAGAACATGTGTAAGATCTTAAGACTTAATAATATAATAATCTAAATTAAATTAAGATTTTACAATTATTAAAACATTTAAAAATAACATATAAATTGCAAATGCCAAATTTATGAAAAACTGAAAATAAAAGTGAAAATACAATACTAAATATTTATGAAAAAAACATTAAAAATATAAATAACAATAAACAAACAAACATATTACTTAATAAAAGCACAAAAACATTTTATCTAATTAATACATAGTTTATTATCCAAATTTATTCCAAATATGTTGAATATTCCAACCAATGCCCAAATGCCACGTCACCCCGCAACACCCACAAGAACAGATCCAGGTCAAGAGCCCAGTTCCTGATCTTAAGCCCATTAACCCATTTTTTTGGATTTAAATAATGCTTAGATCAGGGGGGATGATCCCCCAATGCAGATGGTCTAAGTTCTTTAGAATGGTCCATGAGAATCAAAGATCACATTTAATTGTCATTACTTTTTTTTTTTTGAACCACAATTGTCATTACTTTAGTTGACGTGTTTCTCAATAAAGCCAAAGAATCGAATCTCACATTAATTAACATCTTGAAAAAAAAACATTTTGCAACAAATGTTGAGTGTAATAAAATACTAGTATGAAACTATTAAAACTTTTAAGTTTTATGTGTGTTTTCATAGGTTCTCATCAGGATGTTCACCAAACTGCTGCTGCGGATACGGCACATCAGATTTTATGCCAGAACCATGAAGATTGTGATGCACGGTCATGTGAGATTAAGCCTATCAAAGGTTTCCAAGCCAAAGAGCAAGTCAAAGGACACACTGTGAGTAGTGTGATAAGTTCGATTTGAGGGACACAATACATATATTGATATGGATATTGATAAATTAGTGTTGAGATGTTAGGTGAATGTTGTGAAAGGACTAAAGCTGTATGAAGAATTACTTAAAGAAGATGAGATATCTAAATTGATCGACTTTGTGGCAGAACTCCGAGAAGCTGGCATAAACGGGAAGCTTGCAGGTGACTGACTTTGTCTTACGCGAAACACATTATAGGCTTTAAGAGTTTTCCGGTGCTTACACATGGATGAATGCAGGTGAGAGCTTTATACTGTTCAACAAACAGATTAAAGGGAACAAGAGAGAGCTGATTCAGCTTGGTGTCCCCATCTTTGGCCATGTTAAGGCGGATGAAAACTCTAACGACACCAACAACTCTGGTAAGGAGTCGCTCTGATCCGCAAGTTTCAGTCTAATGGTTTGATGCATGTGGATGGCTCTGACCGATTAGACTTTGTTGGTTTGTAGTTAACATTGAGCCAATTCCACCACTTCTTGAGAGTGTCATTGATCACTTTGTCACATGGAGACTCATCCCAGAATACAAGAGACCAAACGGCTGTGTCATCAACTTCTTTGAAGAGGTACATACATCTCCATGGATCACCACTCCTTTATGTTTCCGCTTTTCTTTAACCTTCGAGATTACCGCTCTTGTTGCAGGGTGAATACTCACAGCCTTTCCTCAAACCACCACATCTAGAACAACCAATCTCCACTCTTGTTCTCTCTGAATCAACAATGGCCTATGGACGCATTCTCTCAAGTGACAACGAAGGCAACTTCAGAGGACCTTTAACTCTTTCTCTCAAACAAGGGTAAAAAAATATCAAAAACCTCTTCCTTTAACTCCAAGAAAAATGTCGATTTCCCTTCATTAACATTGCTTGACCTGATCTTTATAGATCTTTGCTGGTGATGAGAGGGAACAGTGCAGACATGGCAAGACATGTAATGTGTCCATCACAAAACAAAAGAGTAAGCATCACATTCTTTCGTATTCGACCTGACACATATCATAACCATTCACAACCCAACAGTCCTCGCAACGACGGTGTAATGACAATGTGGCAACCTTACCAAATGACACCAACTCCATTCCTCAATGGCTATGATCATTCAATTGACATGATGCCAAAACTTGGAGTCCTACGTCCTCCAATGGTCATGATGGCACCACCACCAGTTCAACCAATGATATTACCAAGTCCCAATGTGATGGGAACCGGTGGTGGCACCGGTGTTTTCTTACCATGGGCCTCTGTTAATAGCTCAAGAAAACATGTGAAGCATTTGCCTCCACGCGCGCAGAAGAAGCGATTACTTCCGCTTCCTCCTGCTGCTTCTTCTTCTCCAGCTGGAGGATCCACCTCTGAGCCTGTGATCAGCGTAGGTTAATCCTATTCGACTTCTTCAGCAAAAAAAAAAAAAGCTTTGAACTGGTCTGTGTCTAAGCCATGCTCTGTTTCTTCTCTTTTGTTCTGTTTATTTTTTTCAAATTCAGTTTAGGTTAACTCAGGTTTTATAGATAGAATTAAGTTTGTTACATCCCCAGAGGCATGTGTTTTCTATTTTGTGTACGATTTTATTATCAGTATATTCTCAAAATGTTACCTTTCATTGCTAGTTTTCAAACAAAATGATATTATAGCACAACATCATCCACATTATTTTCAACCGCAGTTACATATTATTTTGGTTACTATCTTCAAGATTGAAAAAACAATCCTTTACGTTTGTTGAAAAGAACAATAGATAAATCTCTTTCAGAAATAGTAAATTGAGAAGAAAGAAAATAAAAAGAGAGCAAAGTAATAACCATCAAGAAGAATCCATGGAAATAGGTCATTAGTTAACACAGTATGACTGTATGAGGAAACTTTCGTTACAAAAAAAGTCCCAAGTTGACATCACCTTCTCTCTTCACACTCTCTCTTTCTCTATCCACACTTAATCAGTCTCTATTGATACACATGGATGTGTTCTTTGAGACTCAAAGAGGCTCTCACCATTCTCCATTCAAGTGGGTTACTTTGATACAGTGTTAGGGATCAAAGAAAAGATTCGACAATGCTAATGGTGGGGAGCAATAACAACAATCCCCTGAAGAAGCTGAGAGTAATGGCTGCCAAAATGCGGGACCAGAAAGATTCCGGTGGAGGAGAACGCGGGTGATAACGTTGGAGAGCTGAGGAAAGAGCTGGCTAAGATTCAACAGAGGTTTCAGTTAAATCTGCCACAAGAAGGCTATTTCTTTATAGACAAACAGAATGTAATGGATGACGACAGGTCTTTCCGGTGGCGATACAATTGAGATTTTCAATGGAAGTGTTTCCGGTGGCTCTTAATAACTTTAATTTTTTTGGATTTAGAGAAGTTTTTTGTTTGGCTATTTGTTTTATTCCCATGCATAGAAAAAAAGCTATGATGCATTATTCAAGACTAATCTCCAAGTATGAGACAAAGAAATAGCTTTCAGAGTTTCTTGAAGTTTCTTGCTTTCATCGAAATTGTCTTTCCGTCTCACAGCTTTCTGCAAATATGCTTTCAGAATAATTCAAAAACAGCTGACGTAAAACGTTAATTTTTTCTTGTATATATAATTTAACATTTTATTCAAAAAAAAAGACATGTAATTTACCAACAAGAACAACTTTGTCCAAAACGAGGCTTTAATTAACTTAAGAAACACGTAACAAAGAAGGTTAAAACTGTGCCAGGCCCAAACCTGACCCATTTGATGATAGGTGTATCAAATGCTATTTAAACCAAATTGCGCGGGAGACAGAATGCTCAACTGGCAAGCCGGAGTAAACCCATCGTGTGTACTCTGTCAAGCACCATTAGAAGATCGAGATCACCTCTTCTTTGTTAACAAATACTCTGAAGAGGTATGGTCAGGACTAAGTCGTAAGCTCCTTGTGTTAAAATTCTCAACTAGATGGAGCGATGTCCACCAAACACCCGCAGACCCCTTCAGCTCACATGGTGCGCAGCCTTGACAAACAAATTCGAAACCGCATCTCCTCAATAAGGGAACAGGGAGATAGAAGATACGATGAATGCATGATTGCATGGTTGGCCTCAAGATATTCACAAAAGGAAATGTAGTTTTATCAGCTTTTTAGATAGAAACTCTCAAATCAAACGATGCACTAGTTGTAACAAAGTTTTTTCGAATATATTTTACATTTTATTCAAATAAAAAATTAAAAAATGGCTCTTCTTAAAGACCATATATCTTGACGACGTCGCACAATGTCAGATCATCCACAATACTAGTCTCCAACTCTTCGTATCTTCTAACCCTAATCACAACAGCGATCAAGTGCTTCATCAATCTCCAGCACCGTCAAACTTAAACCAACAAATCATGCCGGTGATGGTGAGTAGCACCAACAACAATGAATCACTACCGTCATATTCACTTGATGAATTACTTGGCATTCAAGATTTGACGATTGGGGACATAAGAAACAGGAATAAAGTGGTTCAAGCCGAGATCCGTAAGGTTCAAGAATCTCCAGTGATGGTTACGAGCAGCAGAAATGTTGGAACTCAATTTTACACAAGTGGCTCCAGCCAACTTTCCGGCGACTTTTCCGGTGACGTCCATCATCGGAATGACCGGATAATGGATTCTTTGGATTCCTTGTAATGAGCACTATAACATAGTGTATTTACATGTAAAAATTGAAGTTATATTGAATGAGTAATTGAGGTCCAAAGTGGGAAACTTGAAAGCTTTTAAAATACAAATGTAATTTTGTCCCACATCGGAAGTTTGGAAACTTTCCCTCTAGTATATATAGTGATACACATATGACATGGTGAAGGAGATACATGCACATTATGCAAAACAACCCACACACGCGCGCCGCCGCCGTGGCGCCGGGCTTTTGGGCTCTTGGGGAATGTGGGCCCACAAAAGATAATCTTTTTGGGAAAAATACTTATGAGGCTTTTGTTACATAAGTTTTGACTCATTAACGAAATTCGAAAGCCCATTAACGAAATCAAAACGTTTGCATAATTAAAGGCATATTCGAATATTAAAAGCATATCGGAATATTCCTTTTCTGAATTCGAAATCGAGAAACGGAAATGATAACGCTTCCTAAAATCTCGCCCACGATCTCGAATCGGTTGAGTCTTGCACATCACTCTGATTCTCCACGATCTCCGCTAACATCCGCGCGACTTGCGGACCAAGCTGCTTCTCCTCTTGCCTATAAAAGGAACACCTCTCTCTCTCTCTCTCATTTTCTTCACTTGCTCTTCGCAAAAACGCAACCAAACAACTCTCCCTCTCTCTCTTTCTTCTCAAAGTATGTCTCAAGAGTATATCGTTTATATCAAGTTCGTAGATTCTGCTATCGAGTGAAGCGATAACGGTCTCATTGTGATTGTATCCTGCGATCCGCTGCTCATAAAACCGTCTCATCTACGGGAGCTAGTTTGGATTACGGAAAGAGATTTCAAATCTCGCCTTCACTAGTTTTCTAAATCGTCTTTCCAAATTGTTTTCTAAAAGTTCTTTCTCTCTGTTTTCAAATCGGGATTTCGCGGTCCTACAAGAAACATTGAATCATCACTAGCGTCAAATTCGAGGGGGGAGTGTTGGTTAAACTTGAAGATTACTTGAACCGGAAGCAACTAAACCGAGTTATGGTTTAGAGAAGATAAAGTCAAATATATTAGGAGTTATCTAATATATATGTAATCCTAGTGAGATTAGGATTTGAGAGAATTGTATAAATAGAGAGGTTGAGTCATGACCTAATTTGCGAGAGAGTTTAAGTTTTGAGAGATTTTCTTAAACTAATAAAGGCTATTGAGTTTGTGAGTTAAATACTTTCTTTTGTTAATCGTAAGAGTTTGATCATCAAATATCGTATTCTATATTTGGTATCAGAGCTCTTTGCGATCATGGGAGAGATCACGGAAAGAGCACAAGCGGAGGTGGCCAAGATAAGTGAAGGAGGAGGCTCGTCGACGATAAAGTGCCCTATGCTTAACATGACCAACTACACCGTTTGGGCAATGAGAATGAAACTTCTACTCAGGGTACACAAGGTCTGGGAAGTGATTGAAACACCATCAAACGATGAAGAGAAAAACGTGATGGCCATGGCTTTAATGTTTCAATCTATTCCCGAGACTCTTACCTTGCAGATAGGAGAAAATAACACTGCAAAGAAGGTATGGGATGCCATAAGAACGAGACATGTAGGTGCTGAGAGGGTTAAGGAAGCAAGGTTACAAACGTTGATGGCTGATTTCGATCGTTTGAAGATGAAGGATACGGAGAAAATCGATGACTTCGCCGACAAGTTATCAGAAATCGCTTCGAAATCGTCGGCTTTAGGAGAAGAGATTGAAGGACCTAAACTTGTCAAGAAGTTCCTTAAAAGTCTCCCTAGGAAGAAGTATATTCATATTGTTGCTGCACTTGAACAAGTTTTGGATCTCAAAACCACAAGTTTTGAAGACATCGTAGGCCGATTGAAAACCTATGAAGACCGTGTGTGTGATGAAGAAGAAGATCAAGAGGATCAAAGCAAGCTGATGTATTCAAACACGGAATCTCAATACAACAAAGAATCTAATGGTGAGTATAGAGGCAGAGGTCGTGGAGGACGCTTCTATAGAGGAAGAGGCAGAGGACGTTTTGGTGGAGGAAGAGATACTTCAAGTGTTGTTTGCTACCGGTGTGACAAAACTGGTCACTTTGCAAGCAATTGTCCGGATCGTCTTCTAAAGCTTCAAGAAGTTCAAGAGCAAGACAACAAGAGCACAACAGAGGCAGATGAACTCATGATACACGAGGTAGTGTATTTAAACGAAGGAAAAATTGTACCAAACAAATACGAAACAAATTCAGGGGGAGAGAATGTGTGGTACCTTGACAACGGGGCTAGTAACCATATGACCGGAGATAGGCGATATTTCACAAGCTTAGATTCAACCATCACCGGGAAAGTTAGGTTTGGCGATGACTCCCGGATAGATATTAAAGGGAAAGGATCCATAGAATTCATAGACAGAAACGGTGAGCTAAGAAAGATGGTTGATGTTTATTTCATTCATGGACTAAAGAGTAACATTATCAGCCTAGGACAGGCTACCGAATCTGGTTGTGATGTGAGATTGAAAGGGGAAAAGCTAACAATGCACGATAGCGAGGGGAAGTTACTTGTCAAGGCAGTAAGATCAAGAAATCGTCTGTATAAAGTGGATATGGGGATCAAAGATACAATGTGTCTCCATTCAAGAACTCAAATAGATTCTGAGAGATGGCATGCAAGGCTAGGACATGTCAATCTTGAAACAATGAAAACAATGGTAAGGAGAGAACTTGTATCTGGGATTTCACACGTTGACTTTGAGAAGAAAATTTGCGGCTCATGTTTGCTTGGAAAGCAAAGAAGACAAGTATTTCCACAAGCTACAATGTACCGAGCTACCAAAGCACTTGAGTTGATCCACGGAGATCTCTGCGGACCGATTACACCAAACACTGTGGCTGGAAATAAATTTGTTTTCGTGCTCATTGATGACTATTCTAGATATATGTGGACTGTGTTACTGAAAGAGAAGAGTGACACTTTTGGAAAATTCAAGAAATTCAAGTCCATAGTTGAACAAGAAACAGGGGAAAAGATTCAAACCTTTAGGACTGACAGAGGAGGTGAGTTTGTGTCCAAAGAGTTTAATGATTTTTGCCTAGAATCAGGAATAAGAAGGCATCTTACAGCTCCATACACTCCCCAACAAAACGGAGTTGTTGAAAGACGCAACAGGACTCTTATGGAAATGACTCGAAGCTTTTTAAAGCATATGAAAGTTCCAAACTGGCTTTGGGGAGAAGCAGTGAGGCACTCAACATATCTCTTAAACCGTATAGCTACAAGGTCACTTAAGGATAAAACTCCATATGAGATGTTACGAGGAAAAGTTCCAAATGTTAATCACCTTAGAGTCTTCGGGTGCATTGGATATGCTAAAACAGAGATGCCACACTTGAAGAAGTTAGACGACAGGTCTCGTGTTTTAGTTCACCTAGGCACGGAGCCTGGTTCAAAGGCATATCGCTTGTATGACCCGAGAAATAAAAGGGCGGTGGTAAGTCGTGATGTTGTTTTTGATGAAACAACAGGCTGGAACTGGAATAAAGTTACTACAGAGAATGATGCTGTCGGAAATCTCAGAATTGAGTTTGGAGTTTTTGGAAATCATGGTATCTTCGAAACAGAGCACAGTGAAGAAACAGAGCAACGAGGAGAAGTTGGAGATAATGTCGTCACCGGAACAGAGGAAATCGTGTCTGCGGGTGAAGAGAACAATGGAGAATCATCGGAGGAAGATGAAAACATTGATGCTAATGAGCAAACAGCTCAAACTGCTGCGGGAAGAGTGGTGACTAAATCGGGGAGAGTAGTCACAAGACCTAAGTATCTCCAAGACTATGTACTGCTAAGTGAAGAAGAAGGAGAACGATTGTTAATATGTTTGAATGAGGAACCATGGAGCTTTTCCGATGCAAAGGAGTCGAAAGAGTGGATGGATGCGTGTAAAGATGAGATTCACTCAATAGAAAAGAATCACACTTGGGATCTTGTGACACCACCACAAGAAGCAAAACCGATAGGCTTAAAGTGGGTCTTCAAGCTCAAAAGGAATTCTGATGGTAGCATAAGCAAACACAAGGCCAGGCTCGTTGCAAAGGGATACGTACAAAGACATGGAATTGACTTTGAGGATGTGTCTGCTCCGGTAGCACGAATTGAAACAATTCGTCTTCTCATAAGCCTCGCAGCATCAAGTGGATGGGAGATCCACCACCTTGATGTCAAAACTGCATTCCTTCATGGGGAGTTGAAAGAAATAGTATATGTCATGCAACCAGAAGGCTTTGTAGTAAAAGGACAAGAGGACAAGATTTACAGACTTAATAAGGCTTTGTATGGGCTAAGGCAGGCGCCAAGAGCATGGAATGAGAAGTTAAACCGAGTCCTTAACGAGCTTCAATTCAAGAAATGCACCAAAGAACCATCGGTTTATAGGAAACAGGTAGATCAACATACTCTTCTTGTTACGGTTTATGTTGATGATCTTTTTGTATAGGGAACAAGTGTGAAGTTCATTGAGGAGTTTAAGAAAGAAATGGCGTCAAAATCTGAGATGAGTGACCTTGGCAAACTGACCTACTACCTTGGGATTGAAGTTTGTCAACTTGGAGAAGGAATAACTCTAAATCAAAAACGCTATGCATTGAAGATACTAGAAGAAGCAGGAATGGCAGAATGCAACCCGGTTCATACACCGATGGAAGCAGGCTTGAAGTTGTCTAAGGCTTTGGAAGAGAAAGACATTGATGCTACAACTTATAGGAAGAATATAGGCTGTCTTCGTTACTTGCTACACAAAAGACCAGACTTGTCTTATTATGTAGGTGTGCTAAGCCGGTATATGCAAAGTCCAAAGGAGTCACACGGAGTAGCATTGAAACAATGCTTGAGGTATTTAAAGGGGACAACAACTCTTGGCCTAGTGTTTAACCGGACTAAGGAGGTATCGAAGCTAATAGGTTACAATGATAGTAGCCACAACATTGATCCAGATGACGGAAGAAGCACTATGGGACATGTGTTCTACTTTGGGAAGAGTCCAATATCGTGGTGCTCACAGAAACAAGAAGTTGTAGCAATGTCATCATGCGAGGCAGAATTCATGGCCGGAACAGAAGCTGCGAAACAAGCCATTTGGCTTCAAGATCTACTAAGTGAAATCACCGGATCATCTTGTGAGAAGGTTACTATACTTATTGACAATCAATCAGCGATCGCGCTCACAAAGAACCCTGTTTTCCATGGTAGAAGCAAGCATATTCATAGACGTTATCACTTCATAAGAGAATGCGTTGAGAATGGGCTAATTGAAGTTGTACATGTTCCGGGAGACGAGCAAAAGGCGGACATACTAACCAAGGCACTTGGTAGGATCAAGTTCAAGGAAATGAGGAGTCTCATTGGAGTTAAAGATATGGTACAAGATGGATTCAAGCTTAAGAGGGAGAATGTTGGTTAAGCTTGAAGATTACTTGAACCGGAAGCAACTAAACCGAGTTATGGTTTAGAGAAGATAAAGTCAAATATATTAGGAGTTATCTAATATATATGTAATCCTAGTGAGATTAGGATTTGAGAGACTTGTATAAATAGAGAGGTTGAGTCATGACCTAATTTGCGAGAGAGTTTAAGTTTTGAGAGATTTTCTTAAACTAATAAAGGCTATTGAGTTTGTGAGTTAAATACTTTCTTTTGTTAATCGTAAGAGTTTGATCATCAAATATCGTATTCTATAGGGAGATACTTGGCATTCAAGATTTGACGCCTGCTGTAACCGTTGGGGACATAAGAAAGAAGAATAAAGTGGTTCAAAACAGGAAATCGTCTTCACCTTTGCATGTGAAGTCTCCAATGACGTTAGACACAGTCATTAACATTCCAGATTCGCCTGTGAAGACGAGATTTTAATCTCCTCTTTTCTTAAAGTTTTCTTGCTTCGTTCAAAGTTCAAAGCTTGCTGCAAATATGCTAAGACATGTAATTACCAATGAAAGAAGAGAAACCAGTTGTTGTTGAGTTTTGAAATCAGTGATCAAGCTTCACTTTAAGATCAAATGTTGAATCTTTGTTGACAAAACATGGCAAAAAGACTGTAAAGTTTGACTGATCATGAATCAGGCTTAACTTTCTGCAATATTTTCCTTACCTTATAGCTTTTCAGTCTTTTTCAAAGTTTTTTTTGCTTTCTTTAAAATTGTTTCGTTACACAAAATATGCTTAAGAGCTAGAAATTCAAAAGGAGAAGAGCAGATGACTTGAGCAGAAAGAAAGCCTAATCGAAGCAGACCCCTAATAAAAGATGTTGTTTTTGTTGCTGTTGTTCAAATTGATTCTATCAACATCGGATTTAGCTATGAACTTCTGATTTCAATCATCAGTAGATAAATTGAACAACCAAATGAAAATGGAAAACTTGAAACTTCAGTATCAAGTTTCCAACTATTGATCCGGAGAAAAAAAACGACGAAGAATTACCTGAGACGGGTCAAATTGGGGAAGAACATAGACGTGTTAATGGGCCGGATCTAATATTTTTATTCAAGACGCTGCGTTTTAACCCATTTAAAGATTGCTTAAGATTGCGTAATCTAACCGTTGGATCATATCAGTAATGAGAGTAAGACGATGTCATCGCATAACTGGCACTTCGAAACCATCACATAATTTTTCTTCTATACCAACATGGTTTGCATCTTCCTCTTCATCTGATTGCTCGATTTAGCCAGTTAACGATGTGCATCAATTGGCTTAGTCAACGAGAATTTGTGATTAAATTGAAAGTCAACATAAAATTGAGGATTTAAATCACCAGATCTAGAATTCATGCTTTAAACCAACGAAAATGGCAAACTGATGATTTAAATGGAAATTTTCAACACATTACTAATTTGCCTTAAAACACTATGCGACTAATGAATGGGCTGGACCTAAAAAAATTCAATAAAACGCAGCGTTTCAATGCATTTCGATTTTTACGCAGAAGAATGGGCCGGATACTACTTTTACACAAGAGACGGGTTAAATTTGTCGGATTAATGGGCCGGAAACTATTTTTTAATTTAAAACGCTGCGTTTTCAACACAATGCAAAATTAACCGTTGGATCATATCAGTTAGGAGAGCAATCGACGGTTAAGATTCTTTGACTAGTGATATTTAAACAGAATTACGAATAAACAAACATTCGTCACAAAAATCATCACTTTCTCTTTCTCTCTTCTTCAGAAGTCTCTCTCTCTACTGATCTTCAACATCATTGATACAATGATGGACGTGATCATCGATACTCTGAGTGACTTACCGTTCTCCATTAATGTTGATTTCTGGGAGACAGTGTTTGTAAGTGCGGATGAGGTAAGATAAATTGTAGAAAGTAAACGAGACAAGAAATTTGTTAACGAGGTTCGGTTTTTCCTACTCCCCGGGACCACGTCCAGATTTCGATTCCACTAGAACAAGAAAGCAAATTACAACCAATTCGCAAACGCGTAAAACAAGCCCAACCCTCTTGATTTACCGCTCCCTTCTATAACGTGAAACCTTAAGGATAATCTCTACCCTTAACTAAACTCCCCTTGAGTCTAGATTTAATCAGGATAACCTAACCCTGAGCTAAACTCCCCTTGAGCCTAGACTTCAAAACAAAACCACTTGATCACACAAGCACAAAATCCGCAAAACTAAGTTGCACAAAACCGCGAAACTATGTCGCACACACCCTCAGAAAGCTCTCAATGATTTGCCTCTATGTCTCAGCTCTCTTCCTTCTCCAAGACGTCCTCAGCTCCTCCATATATAGCCAAAACGATTTCCTAATCACCATAGGAGAAGATTTCCAATTTCCATAAGAAAAAGTAAATTTCCTTTTATACTTTTCCTTTTTCTCTTCAAACTCCACTTTCATCAAGTCTTCCAAATCTCTTTAAGTCCTTTTTCCTTTGTGATTCATCCTCTAAACACGCTCCAAACACATCTTCTCAAACCTTCTAGAAACCGACACTTACACAAAAACAGTCGCATCTTGACATACTTCTTGAATCATTCAGAAACTTCATCAGACAAAATCTTGTTTTACTTCTTGACTTATTCAACAACTTCATCAGACTGCAGCTACATCTTCAATCTCCCCCTTTTTGACTATGTTTGTGAACTCAACAGTTCTAACTCCAAAACAACATCACGAAACACATCATCATTCTCCCCCTGAATGAGTCACAACATGGTCAAAACTACTTAGAAAATTCTCCCCGCTTTGCAACACGAGGTTGATAGCTTAGTACACCACCTCCATAGAAATCATCTTTCCTAACCCAAATCTTCCTGCGCCTTAAGCCTTCATGACTGGATTCTCGAATGAATCTGAAACAATTCCTCTTAATATGCCCTTGAACTCCACAATGATAACATGTAGGACCATGAAATCTCTTATTATAAGCATTCTTCATTCGATTTCTCTCCCTCAATAATCTGAAACACCTTGGCCTAATATGCCCAACAATACCACAATGATGGCAAACAGGTCGAAAAATTCGTTGAGGTGCACTCTGCAGTTCTTTACCTTTTCCTGTATCAGACTCTGTACCAGTTCTCGTAGTAGTTCTTGTACCTGACGCAGTCTCTGCCACAGTTGCTGTTTCTGACACACTTCCTGATCCAGACGTGATTTTTCCACCATAAACAAACACTGGATCCGATTTTGAAAGTTTTCCTTCAAATCCAAGGCCACACTTATCAATCTTGCCAATATTCAGAATATGATCCAACTTCTTTGTGCCATTATTAAGCATCCTCAAATTCTTTTGAGTTTCTTCAAGTTGTACTTTGGCTTGTGATGCTTCTTCTTCTTTTTCTGTAGCATATTTCTGTACTTCAATGACTTTAGCCTCTAACTTGAGTTTCTCCTTAGTTAACACTGAATTCTCTTCAACTATTTTAAGCCAATGCTCATATAAGGCTTTGTAATTCTCATGAAACTCTTCATCACTGATACTTTCATCGTCATCACTTTGATCATTGACACTTCCAATTGCAGATCCTGTTGCAGATGCTGATGCAGACCCTGATGCAGATGCTGATGTAGACCTTGATCCAGACTTTGCTGCAGAACTAGACTCAAAAGTTGTAAACGCCACAAAATTCTTCAATTCTTCACCATCATCTGAGTCAATTTCAGAATTACTCATGATAAATCTCTTCTTCTTTTGCTTCAGCAAATTCGCACATTCCAAACGTACATGTCCAAAACCTTTGCACTCAAAACATTGTTTGCCCTTTGATGAATTGTCCAACTCTTCTCTTTTTCCATTAGCCCTAAAACCGTGAAGAGATCTGTTTCCCTCATTCCATGAGAACCGCTTCTTGAATGGCAAACTCAATATCTCCATCGATCTTGATATCAAACTCTGTCTTACTTCCTGAACGATCTCCTGAACGATTTCCTGACCTCACCCTTGATCTACCCGAAACAAGACTAAATCTCTATCGAGAACCCGCTCTGATACCAATTGTAAGTGCGGATGAGGTAAGATAAATTGTAGAAAGTAAACGAGACAAGAAATTTGTTAACGAGGTTCGGTTTTTCCTACTCCCCGGGACCACGTCCAGATTTCGATTCCACTAGAACAAGAAAGCAAATTACAACCAATTCGCAAACGCGTAAAACAAGCCCAACCCTCTTGATTTACCGCTCCCTTCTATAACGTGAAACCTTAAGGATAATCTCTACCCTTAACTAAACTCCCCTTGAGTCTAGATTTAATCAGGATAACCTAACCCTGAGCTAAACTCCCCTTGAGCCTAGACTTCAAAACAAAACCACTTGATCACACAAGCACAAAATCCGCAAAACTAAGTTGCACAAAACCGCGAAACTATGTCGCACACACCCTCAGAAAGCTCTCAATGATTTGCCTCTATGTCTCAGCTCTCTTCCTTCTCCAAGACGTCCTCAGCTCCTCCATATATAGCCAAAACGATTTCCTAATCACCATAGGAGAAGATTTCCAATTTCCATAAGAAAAAGTAAATTTCCTTTTATACTTTTCCTTTTTCTCTTCAAACTCCACTTTCATCAAGTCTTCCAAATCTCTTTAAGTCCTTTTTCCTTTGTGATTCATCCTCTAAACACGCTCCAAACACATCTTCTCAAACCTTCTAGAAACCGACACTTACACAAAAACAGTCGCATCTTGACATACTTCTTGAATCATTCAGAAACTTCATCAGACAAAATCTTGTTTTACTTCTTGACTTATTCAACAACTTCATCAGACTGCAGCTACATCTTCAGTGTTAGCGATAAAAGAAAAGATCGAGAAGTCTCAAGGTATCCCTGTTGCAAAACAAACCCTTTACTTCCAAGGCAAGGTTCTTCAAGATCATGTTGATAAGTTTGATTGCCAGCTCCTCTTCGACTCTCGTCTCCTTCTCTACATCTCTCCCGAGGATAACCCTAATCAGAACAACGATCAAATGCTTATAGATTCAGCGACAGGCAAAAAGATTACAAAGGTGATGGCGAGGAGAGTCAACAATGAATTTTCATCAGGACCGGCATATTCACTTGTTGAGTTACTTGCCCCTCAAGATTCGCCAACTGTGACGGTTGGCAATCAAGCCACTGAGCAATCTCCACCGTCAGACTCAGCCAAAGAGGTCCTTCCTGTGGAAAAGAAGATCAACCCCAATCCGATGAAACTGACAGTATATGTGAAGCCATATGAAGATGATACCAGGATAATTCAAGTAGAGGTTAACGCAGATGATAACGTTAAAGAACTGAGGAAAGAGCTGGTTAAGATGCAAGAGAGGGGTGAGTTATATCTGCCTCAAGAAAGGTTTTACTTAGTAGAAAGTGCGATACCATTGATCGAATCTAAGTCATTCGAGCGGAACCTTGTTGTTGACGGCGATAGAATTGAGATTATCAGAAAGCTATCATCTTCTATTTAGTCTTTCTTCAAGTTTTCTTGCTTTGATCAAAGTTCATAGCTTTCTGCAAATATGCTAAGACATGTAATTACCAATGAAAGAAGAGAAACGAGTTCTTGTTTAGTTACATCATTTCGAAATTAGCGACAAAAGATTCACTTTTCATAATGAAAGATTGTTCATAATTCTCGTCGTCAAACTCTTCTTCTCTCTTGATCATAAAATGGAGCAATCTCCTCCACCGTCAAACTCAACAGAACAGATCATCGAAGATTCGACTGTGACGGTTCAAACAGAGCAACCTCCATCGTCAAACTCGGTCGAAGAAATGATATCTTGATAGCTGATTGTTGACATGAATTTTAAAGACAATTCTTGCAAAAGATTCGAATTTTTCTGATAAATCTGTAAATCTAGACATTGAATGTTAAAGTTAACGTTACACACAGCCAACGGCGTGGTTTCTCATCCTCTACGCATAAATCAGAAAGAAGCCTAAGTAAAAACAATGTCTTGAATTGAAGGAAAATAGAATCACAGATGTCAAAAAAAAAAAAAAAAAAATGTTCTCTCCCCAAATGAAATATTAGTAACATTTAACAACATACCACCAAAGTCTTTTATTTTTTTTTGTGTGCATAAAAAAAATAACTGCTCATTGACAATTTAAAGCTAACGTTACACAAAACCAACGGCGTCGTTCTCATTCTCTACGCATAATCAGAAGGAAGCCTAATAAGTACTAGAAACAATGTTAATGGGCCGAAGTAGAAATAGAAATAGGCCTTATAATAATTGAGCCCATTTAACCTGTTAACGTTGTCAAACGTCCCACATCGCTTAGAACAGTAGCCGAAGCTGCGTTTATATATGGTTAGAGTCGGAAGAGTGATTGTCCCTTCGGGGACATCCGATAAAATTGGAACGATACAGAGAAGATTAGCATGGCCCCTGCGCAAGGATGACACGCATAAATCGAGAAATGGTCCAAATTTTTTTTGACCCAAAATTCTGATGAATGTGTAACCCTAGATCTATCTCCAGTTTTGTTTTTTAGCTATTGCATGTTTGATTTGATGTTCGTTGTCCAAAATTCTGATGAATGTAACCTTAGATCTCCAGTTATTTCAGCTATTGCAGCTTTGATTTGATGTTCGTTGTCCAATGAGTTTTCAATTTCTCAATTACGAGATATATCGTAATGTTTTCAGTTATGCTACAAAGTTTCCTGATCGATTATGAAACCAAATTATCGTTGTTGTTGTTTTGTTCTAACATTTGTTGTCAAATAGATTTGTGCATTGCCCTAATATCTTCTGCAGCAATATTTTCGTTTTCCAAGGACTTGTTCAGTCATTACATTGCAGTTGATGCATTGTTTTTTTTATGCTCTGATCAACTTTGTAAGTAAGCTAGCTATTAGGAGTTTGTATTTTTCCCAGTTTTGCTGCAAAAATCTCGATTGGTTCCATTCCTTTTCGGGTTTTTGTGTTCCTAAAATTCTGTCAGCCCTTTAATTGGTTTTGGTCAATCTCTTAGTAATGTCTTGTGTTTATTTATACAAAAAGATCAAGACTTTGAATCCGGTTAGGGGGTTGAAGAGACAATTTTTGGATATACTATCTGACATTTTTGTTACCTGTGTTGATCAATTTTATTTATTGGATGGGAAAAAGGGTTTTAGTAGGTAATGAGGAAAGTGTCTAGGACTAGCTGGTGTGAATCAGAGACCCATTTAGGGTTTAGGGGTTTTAGTTTTCCGAGACAGAAAATACATGTCCTCCATATCTTGCAAGTTTTGGTTACTCTTATATCCAATTGGACAAGACGGTTTTTATGTGGTGGTTTAATTGCCGTTAGATTATGTTTTAGCTTCAAACTCATGAGAGTAAACAAATGATTACTTCGTAGAATCACATTTGAAAAGGACTTAGAATTGACTGGGAATGAGGACATTTGAAGTAGCTGTGTACCATCCACAAGAAGTTGGCCAATGCTTTTACTTGACGAGAATCAGAGTGTTCTTGTCTCAGATTGTGGTTTGGCCCTGTAAGCCAGGTAAACTGCTAAAACCCAAAGAGCTTGGTTCTTATGGTTTCACCTTTTCAGTCTGCAGCCTCTTATGGATATGGAGCACATAATTCGACTCAAGTTGGCAGACTGAATTGTAAAGAAGCATTTACTTCACCAGTGAATTGCGGAAACAAGATGTTCGGTTCAACAACAAAGGGGAGCTAAAGATAAGACATAAAAAGAGTCATAACCTTAAGATGGGTTTAAGTTGATTTTGCAGCAAAAAAGGAGACATTTTGTGTTTCCGGTTGCTTGTGAATTGGTTCTCGGTTTTTATAAAACTTCTACTGCAAAATGGGGTGTGTTTTCATATCTTTGAATTTGTTTGTATTTAAAAAGTTTATAGAACTCGATCTCTGTTTGTATTTTCCTTAAAGCTGTGATTCTGTGAATTTGTGCTTGTTATAAGATATTCACTTAGAACAATTGTAGTTACTAATTATAGTGAGGTCCAATAAACCGGAGTAAACCGAACCAAACGGATCCGATATTGTGTAATTTAACGGAAAGAGAGAAACTCCGTCTAATTCTTGCAACTGATAATTTCCTTCTCGAGTATAAAACCATGGCGCCTATATAAATTTCTTTCATTTCTCTTGTTCGTTAATTCTTCGTCTCTCTCTGCTTTTCTCTTGCGACATGGCTGAGCCTGAACCACGAGATGATCCCGAATATATGAAAAACTTCCCAAATGGCTTTCTCGATTTTGATGTCAGCGATACCTGTTTCGAAGAAGACAGAGATTTCAATCTTGAAGAAGAGCCGACTAAGATTAATCCGGAGATTTGTGTTGATGTTTTCGCTCGAAAACCACAAGTGAAAGACTCTGCTTCTTGTTCCGCCATCATTAACGAAGCCACCAAGAAAACATATGCTTCTTCTTCAAGAAACCGTGAAGATAGTAGTGAATCTGGCGAGATAAGAAGGGTAGATAATAAAGAAGATGATCGCAATGATGGTGATGTGCGCAAGGTAAATACGATTTCCGGTTTACTTAATTCGCAAGTAAGTAAGATAGATGCAATCTTGGTTCTTGGCAGGAATCTGATCCGCAGCAGCAACTCACAAGAACAAACCCTGGATCAACATCGTCTACAAGTGATCGAAACAATACACGCCAACTTATTGGTATGCAGAGTCAACGTACGTTCTCCCAATGCTGCACCATTCAGCAGCCTCAGAACAACACATATCAGCAGCTTCCAGTGATTAACCCGATGGCCATTCTAGTTCCAACGCAATTTGTGATGCCTACGCCGACTCATATATATATTCCATTGCAAATGCAGTATCCGATGACCACCATAACTTATATCAACATTCAATGGCTAGCCAGCAGAACTTTTATCAACTTCCAGTGGTTAACCAGATTCGAGGGCCTGCATTAGTTGTTCACAACTATGAACCATGGAGACTTCAGAACACATATCACCAGCATCCATCAGCTAACCAGATGACCAATCCAATGCCAGGGCCAATGTGGCCAATTCAGCATCCAATGGCTTACCAGCAGAACTTTTATCAACATCCAATGTCTGACATGGAATTCTAGTATACTGCAAGAGGACAGCCAAGATCATTTGCTATAGGTCAGAACTATTCCAACCCACGACATGCACGGCCTGAGCTAAATCAACAAATGCTGCAACGTGTGCCTCAAACCCAACAGCCAACGCAGTCTCAAGGATCTTCTGAACAAGGTCAAGATCAGCAGCAGCCTAGGTAAAACGATCCTTAATTGACATGATTTTCAAGTTTTTCTTTTTAATAGAACTCTCTTGGGTTGATTTTGGTAGCTGTCAAATGAACTGGTGTTGATGACTGTTTAGTCAATGATCTATTCTAAAGTGTGGAACAAGGAAGAGTTTTCTTCTGAATCTTCATAATCAATTTCAATACTTTTAACTGAAGATTAAAAGTCCACTCTAGTCTTAAAGTCTCTCTTTTTAGAATTCCCAATTACTGTAATTTCTTAGAGATTATGAAACTGTTTAGTCAAGAACTATTCAAAAGTCTCGAATTCAAAAAGAAAGAGTTTCTCTTTTTAAACGTTTAGTTTAGCAAATTGTTTCTCATCTCCAAATTTTAAAAATAAGGTAGTCAATTAATAATAGACAAACAAATGCAGAAGAGAAGAATGAGTACAAGTCAATAAATGAAAACTTGTTGCACAAGAAACAAGGAATACAAAAACAGAGTAAATGCCTCCGACTATATCAGAAGCAGAGACTCATTGTCGTCTCCTCAATCCTCAAAACCAATATCATCATCGTTATCCCATACAATATCAGATTATTCACCCGTAGAAGGATATGAATGAACGGCCAGGATTAACTTTTTTTCAAAAGCCTTTAGTTACATTAGTCTCAACAATGAGTTTTCTCAAGTTATTCAGCATCAATATTATTCTCCCAAGGCACCACGTCCCCATCTCGATCTTGATCTCAATCTTTTTGCTTCTCAAGTTTTTCTGCACCCGTATCCGCAATCGCAGACGCAGCCTCAACTTGGTGGTAGAGGATCAGTGTGGACGTAGGATAGGTCCAAAGGAGCAGTCTTGGTAGCTGATTCTTGACATGATATTAAAGACGATTCTTACAAAAGTATCGAATTTTTCTGATAAAACTGTAAAATCTAAAACGTTGAGTGTTTAGTTACCCATAAGTTCTCTCGCCAAATGAAATATTAGTAAAATTTAACAACATACCAAAGTCTATTTTTTTTTGTGTGCAAAAACCAAAGTCTCTAACCCAACAATTGCTCATTGACAATTTAAACCTAACGTTACACAAAACCAAGGGCATCGTTCTCAGTCTCTAGTCTCTACGCATAAAATCAGAAAGAAGCCTAAGAAGAAACAATGTTAATGGGCCTATGTAGAAAAAGAAATAGGCCTTATAATAATCGAGCCCATTTAACCTGTAAACGTTGTCAAAAGTCCCACATCGCTTAGAACAGTAGACGAAGCTGCGTTTATATATGGTTAGAGTCTAAAGAGTGATTGTCCCTTCGGGGACATCCGATAAAATTGGAACGATACAGAGAAGATTAGCATGGCCCCTGCGCAAGGATGACACGCATAAATCGAGAAATGGTTCAAATTTTTTTTTCCCCAAAAACTTTATACAGATCGATCCTCAAATTCTGATGAATGAAACCCTAAAATTTAATATTTTATTGTTGTTGCTGCTCTGATGTTCATTGTCTAATGGATGGTAAGATTATAATACTCTAATGCTCTTCTAATTTCTCTGCAACATATTGTGGAGAAAAACTTGCTAGAAACGATTGCTTGCGGAATAAACAACACAAAGAGATTTGATCACCGAGTTCACGGCCTCTAACCGCTACGTCTCGGGGGAGAACTCTTGCTCCCAAGCTTCACTATTAGAAAGAGATTACACACACCACAAACTTGTGATGTTTTCTTTTGGTTTTCAGGTACACTCACACAAGAAGAACTTTGGATCAAAAAACACAACAAAGAAGACAAAGACAGACTTTTTCAGAAAACTCTCTTTTCTCACGTTTTCTAGAACTCTCTACCGTCTTCTCACATATTCTTCCGAGATATATAAGAATATATAATGGGCCACTTTTGCTCTTCTTTCTCTTCTTGTAAATGTTATTTTCGTCAGGCCCAAATAGGCCCATTTGGTGTGTGTTGGTCAAACCCAACAACACATATTTTTCAGGTCGGTTATGAATTAGGTGTTTGTAAATTTTGTTGAATTTGTCCCACTTCTGCAGCAAAATCTCTGTTGAGTCCATTTCCCTTTCAGGCTTCTGAAATTCTTGTACTCCTGTCAACCCATGCATTGATGTTGCTCAGTCTCTTAACAATCTCATGTGTGTATGTGTACAAAAGATCAAGACTTTGATGCTGGTTTGGTTAGGTGTTTAAAAGACAGTTTGGATATAATGTCTTGACATTGTCAGCACCTTTCTTAATCAATTTCATTCATTGGATAGGAAAAGGGTTTTAGGGAATGAGTATGAGGAAAATGCTTAGAGAGCTGGTTTGAATAAGGTACACAAGAGGGAGAGTCCAGAGACAAGTTTAGGGTGTAGGATAATCAGAGACAATTGATGTTCACCGTTTCTAGAAAAGTTTTGGTTACTCTATCATGTCAATCGTTTATAGCCAATTTTACTAGATGGTTCTTATGTGGTGTGGATCGATTCTTGTTAGATGATGTTTCAGGTTTAAGCCCACAAGAATGAGATGATTACTTTAATTTGCATGGTATGTACTAACCAAGAAGTTGACCAAATGTTCTATTTGACGATGATTTGAGGGTACTTGTCTCAGATTGTGATGTAGCCCTGTGATTCAGGTAAACTAAGAGCTTGATTCTGTTGGTTTCACCTTTCCAGTCTCCAAGTTCTTTATAAAACTAATTCTTTTTAGTTATTATATATAATACAGTCAAACTACTAGCTTCTTATGAGTCTAAGATTGTGGTTTAGCCTTATGAGACCTGAGAGTCTGAGACCAATCAGCAGAACCAAGATGGCCATTTCTCCCGCAGCAGCAATTCAGATGTTGACTATAACACCAAGTTGTTCATGAACATTTCAGAGATATTTCAACCAGAAACAACACTTAGGCTTCCCCATATAATATGATTCACCAAACTTGTCCCAATGCAGCAACATCCCCAATCACCATGGCCTTAGCTAACAAATGATGCAACGCCAGTCTCAAACGCAACAGCCATCGACGGTTAAGATTCTTCATATCAAGATTGCTTAATCTAACCGTTGGATCATAACAGTAAGGAGAGCCATCGACGGTTAAGATTCTTCGACTAGGGGCGTAAATGATTATTTAAACCAAATTACACGAGTAAACTTATCGTCAATCACTTTCTCTCTCTTTCTCTTCAAGTCTCTCTCTTGATCTTGAAGCACCATTGATACAATGATGGAGGTTACTGTCGAGAATCAGAGTGGCTCAACGTTCTCCATTGATGTTGTTTTCGGGGAAACACTGTCGGAGATTAAACGGAAGATCGAGAAGTCTCAAGGTATTCCTGTTTCTAAACAAATACTTACCTTCAAAGGCAAGCTTCTTCAAAGCCATCTTGATATCTATGAATGCCATGTCCTCGAAAACTCTCCTATCCATCTCTCCATCTCTCCTGACGATAACCCTACTCAGAACCAAGTGGCTCAATCTCCATCAAATCCAATTCATGAGTTCGTTAACAATCAAGATTCTCCGGAGGGCAGTAAGAATCAACATGATCGGCCTGTGGTCACGAAGGTCGTGGCGAGGAGAATCCACAATGAATATTCATCACGACCGGCATATTCACTTGATGAGTTACTTGCCCCTCAAGGTTCGTCGTCTGTGACGGTTGGGAGCAGAACAAACAGGAATCAAGAAGTTCAAAACAGAGTATCTTCATCGTCAGACTCAGTCGTAGAGGTCATTAACATTCCAGATTCGCCTGTGAGGAAGAAGACCAAGATCAACCCGATGAAGATGATAGTAATGGTGCAGCCATATGGAGAGACCAGGAGGACTCAAGTGGAAGTTAACGCATTGAATAACGTTGAAGAACTGAGGAAAGAGCTGGTTAAGATGCAAGAGAGGGGTGAGTTCTATCTGCCTCAAGAAAGGTTTTACTTTATACACAAGCAGGCTGTATTACAAGAAGATAAGTCATTCTTGACGAACGGTGTTGCTCACGGTGATACGATTGAGATTTTCCTCGGATATGTTACCAATCCCGGCCCTAAACCCACAAGTCGTCGAACGTCTCATCACTAAACGAGCTTGCTTTGTTCTCTTAGTCTTTCTTTTCTTTTAGTCTTTCCATATATCGGATATGTTTCAGTGCAGTCTCCTCTTTTCTTTTAGTATTTCTTCGAGTTTTCTTGCTTTGTTCAAAGTTCACAGCTTTCTGCAAATTTGCTAAGAGCCTAAGACATGTAATTACCAATATGAGCTAAAAGAAGAAAAATTAGTTCTTGTTGAGTTATATCTTTTCGAAATCAGTGATCATACTTGACTTTAAGATCAAATGTTGAATTTTTGTTGACAAAACAGGGCAAAAGACAGTAAAATTTCTTGCTTTATTCAAAAACTAAAACCAAAAAAAAAATCACATTGCTAATTTGCTTTAAAACACTCTACGACTAATGAATGGGCCGGACCTAAAAACTTTCAACAAAAACGCAGCGTTTCAATGCAGTTCGATTTTTACGCAGAAGAATGGGCCGGATACTACCTCTACACAAGAGACGGGTTAAATTTGTCGGGTTAATGGGCCGGATACTATTTTTTAATTTAAAACGCTGCGTTTTCAACCCATTTCAAGAACGCTTAAATTAACCGTTGGATCATATCAGTTAGGAGAGCAATCGACGGTTACAATTCTTTGACTAGTGATATATAAAACAAAATTACGAATAAACAAACTTTCGTCACAAAAATCATCGCTTTCTCTTTCTCTCTTCTTCCGAAGTCTCTGTCTCTCCACTGATCTTGAAACACCGTTGATACAATGATGAACGTGCTCATCGATACTGAGAGTGGCTCATCGTTCTCCATTACTGTTGATATCTGGGAGACAGTGTTAAAGATAAAAGAAAAGATCGAGAAGTCTCAAGGTATCCCTGTTTCCAAACAAACCCTTTACTTCCAAGGCAAGGTTCTTCAAGATCATGTTGATAAGTTTGATTGCACGATCCTATTCGACTCTCGTCTCCTTCTCTCCATCTCTCCCGAGGAAAACCCTAATCAGAACAACGATCAAATGCTTATAGATTCAGCGACAGGCAAAAAGATCACGAAGGTGATGGCGAGGAGAATCCACAATGAATATTCATCAGGACCGGCATATTCACTTGATGAGTTACTTGCCCCTCAAGATTCAACAATGAAGGTGACGGTTGGGAATCAAGTAGTTCAAACCACCGAGCAATCTCCACCGTCAGACTCAGCCAAAGAGAAACTGACAGTATATGTGAAGCCATATGAAGATGATCCCAGGATCGTTCAAGTAGAGGTTAACGCAGATGATAACGTTGAAGAACTGAGGAAAGAGCTGGTTAAGATGCAAGAGAGGGGTGAGTTATATCTGCCTCACGAAGGGTTTTACTTAGTATACAGTGCGTTACCATTGACCGAATCTGAGTCATTCAAGTGGAACCTTGTTGTTGACGGTGATAGAATTGAGATTATCAGCAAGCTACCATCTTTTAACAGTCTCCTCTCTCCTTAAAGCGTTTAGTCTTTCTTCAAGTTTTATTGCTTTGTTCAAAGCTCATAGCTTTCTGAAAATATGCTAAGACATGTAATTACCAATATTGTTGTTGTTTAAAGAAGAGAAACGAGTTCTTGTTTAGTTACATCTTTTCGAAATTAGCGATCAAGAATCAAGAAACATTACGGATGGTCTAATTCACATTTTTTTCTCTAGAAACATTACGGATGGTCTAATTCACATTTTTTTTGATATTTTTCAATGATCTGGCGTTACAGAAACACGTATAAAGATCAAATGTTGAATCTTTGTTGAAAAAAACAGGGCAAAAGACAGTAAAGTTTCTTGCTTTATTCAAAAACTAAAACCAAAAAAACACTCTGCAAGTAGTGGGCAGGACCTATATTTCTTCAACAAAACGCTGCGTTTGAACGCATTTCGATTTTTTTCCGTAGAAGAATGTGAAATTATATACCGTAGGATCATTTTAGTTATTTAGTAAAAAGATAGCTGTCGACGGTTAAGATTCTCATCGATTTGATACGTGAAATCAAATGATATAAAACCGATTTGTGAGGAAACTTTCTTTACAAGTCATCCATCACTTTCTCTCTTTTCTTCAACAGCTCCATTGATCTTGAAACACCATTGATACAATTATGAAGGTGTTCTTCGAGATTCAGAGTGGCTCATCGTTCGAGATTGAAATGTATTACAAGGATACAGTGTTAGAGATGAAAGAGAAGATCGAGAAGTCTCAACGTGTCTCTGTTTCAAAACAAACCCTTATCTTCGAGGGCACTCTTCTTCAAGACGATCTTGATATCGAACAGTACAAGATCGTCCACGAATCTCGTCTTCAACTCATCGTCTCTCCTGATCATAACCCTAATCAAACCGAGCAATCTCCTCCACCGTCAAACTCAACAGAACAGATCATCGACGGTCATCAAGAGTCGACTCTGACGGTTCAAACAGAGCAATCTCCATCGTCAAACTCAGTCGAAGAGATGATCACTAACATTCAAGATTCGTCTGAGAAGGAGAGGATTCCGAAGATTGTCGTATACGTTTCACCGTATTCCGGTGAGAGTCAAGCTGTCAAGGAGGTTCCGGTGGCTGTGAATGTGAAGATGAACGATAACGTAAAAGAACTGAGGAACGAGTTGGTGAAGATTGAAGAGAATGGTGAGTTAAATCTGCCTCAAGAAGGGTATTTTCTTATACACAAAAACAGAGTATTAAACGAGAATCAGTCATTCTGGGTGGTTGGTGTTGATCACAACGATACAATTGAGATCCTTCCTACACATCTTACTCGTGGCTCTTTTAACCTTGATTCTTAAGTCACAATTCTTTCAGTAGCAAAAAATTGTAAATCTCCATACATTGAACAAAAGCTATGATTACATTGTATATATCCTATTGAAGGTTCAACTATCTGCAGTCTCCTCTTTCCTCTTGCTTTGTTCAAAGTTTGGGTTTGTTTTTGTTCCTCTTAAAACATAAACCCTAAAAAGTCTCCTCTTTCCTTGTTCAAAGTTTGGGTTTGTTTTTGTTCAAAAAATTGGTGGTTCAGGTGAGATCAGACCAGCAGGTCATATTGGATCTGGGCAACGCCGAACCGTGATCCGTCCACTGCTGTAAGCGCGAAGTAATCGCTGCTCTGTGAAACCAGCCTCACGCATTACCCTCCAACTTTAGAACCCGTCTGAGCCAAGCCTTCGCTCGACCCACACGGATTACTCACAGCTTGGACTGGGCAGCTCAGAAACATGCCAACACCAGAACCGACTTGTGGACCCGAACCATTGTTCCACCATCTTATTGTCCCCACATGGGTTACAAGCTCTCGTTACTTAGCTCGACGTTGAATATATCATTTCGTGTAATATATAAACAAACACAAAATGAGTAGAGTGACCGATGTGGGACAAAAGACTCTGAAGTTAGTTTTGATTTGTGAATTATCTTTTTTGATGTGGGCCAAAGCCTTATTTTGAGTCCCATTATAGACTAATAAAAAGCCCGATAGTGAAATTGAAGAGACAGATTTGAGATAGATAGAAGAAGAGAGGGGCAAATAAAGCAAATGCAAGAAGAAGAGAAGTTATTCCCGGAAATGTTAGTAAAACGATCTTGATAATATTATTTTGTCCCCTTTCATGTTCATCTAGCTTAAATTTGCTTTATCCAAATTCCAAATTGATAGACTTTGTCGCGCTAGCCTGAACGGGAAGCTTTCAGGTGACTCATATCTATTGGTAATCTACAATGTGTGTCTTCTTCTCTGCTCATGCCACTGTTTTTAACCCTTGAACGCCATATATGTCCTAAAACTGCTTGAAGCGAAGAGATCTTTCCATCTTCGAATCCAGCCTCGTTGTTGGCTTTAACTTTCAGTTTCAAAACAAACTCCTTTAATAGGAAAAATTTGTGAGTGTAACGTTTGAAACAACCAGAGGCTATTGCAAGTTTCCCAACCATGAATCTTTTGATGGTTGAGAAGAAGGAATTAGGGAAAGAAATATCAAGACATCACTAAAAGACTCTCATCGAGTATCTTTCAAGAACAAATTGTACATCTTTATGCATGAGATCATCTTATCTACTTAAAGCTTTTGTGTCTATCTTCCTCCATAGCTACGAACCTCTATTTCATCAATAAGCTGCTCCATAGCTACGAACCTCTATTTCATCATAGCTACGAATCATTTGGTGTACATATCTTGATGACAAAAGCAACTTAACAGAAACCTTTTCAATATTCCAGCTGCTTCCTCTCAAATTGAATCTGACAATGACGACCAATCTGAACGCTCGAGCACGACGGACTGTGAAGTCATGGAAACTAAGCCAATGTACATCCAGGTAACCTTTCTTTCTTACCTTTTTTTTTTTTTTTTTTAATCATAAATCATAATAATTTTGATTTTTTAAAAATAAAATTTTCTATTTTTCACTTCTGATTAATACTAAATATCAAGGTTTTTTCAAATATTTTTAAGTAATAACTTTTTATTTTTATCAAATACTAATGATTTTTACTAAAATTTTAAACAAATTTAATAGTTAAACTTTAAGAAAATAATTAGCAATTTTTAACTAAAACCATGTTAATTTCACTATTACTTTTTTAAAATTAGTTTACTTGTTCAATTTTAAAAACGTTAAAAACTAACCGCGCCTATGCATCCTGTCTTTAATTGGTCCGTAAGCTTTGGTGTTCGAAGTTCGGCATGTTTTCACGTAATATAGATTTAACACTTAAACTCATTTAAAAAAATTAAAAATGATTTTCACTAAAATTTAAAAACACATTTAACACTTAAAACTTTAAGAAAATAATTAATAATTTTTAACTAAAATCATGTTAATTTCACTAGTACTTTTTAAAAATTAGAATAAGTGTTCAATTTTAAAAACGTCGAAAACTATCCGGCCTAAGCATCCAGTCCTTAGTTGGTCCGTAAGCTTTCGTGTTCGAAGCTCGGCATGTTTTCACGTAATATAGATATAACTCTTCAACTCATTTTAAAAAAAGAAGAATGATTTTCACGAAAAATATGAATGATTTTCACTAAAAATATAGATTTAACACTTAAACTTATTTAAAAAAATAAAAATGATTTTCACTAAAATCTAAAACAAATTTAACACTTAAACTTTTTAAGAAAATAATTAATAATTTTTAACTAAAACCATGTTAATTTCACAATTACTTTTTTTAAAAATTTGTTTAAGTGTTCAATTTTAAAAACGTCAAAAACTAACCGCGCCTAGACATCATGTCCTTAGTTGGTCCGTAAGCTTTGGTGTTCGAAGTTCGGCATATTTTCACGTAATATAGTTTTAACACTTCAACTCATTTTTAAAAAATAAAAATGATTTTCACTAAAACTTTAAGTAAATAATCTTTTTTACTAAAACCATGTTAATTTCACTATTAATTTTTTAAAAATTTAGTTTAATTGTTAAATTTTTAAAAAAACCGAAAACTAACCGAGCCAAGGTTCTTGTCTTTAGTTGGTCTGTAAGCTTTGGTGTTCGAAATTTGACATGTTTTCACGTAATATAGATTTAACACTTAAACTCATTAAAAAAAATGATTTACACGAAAATCTAAAACAAATTTAACACTTCAACTAGGTCTGGGCACAAATATGGATCCACATAGAACATAACCGAACCGAACCGAAATTCCGGTTCTAGTGAAACGATTGGATCTTGAATCAAAGATCTATGGGTATCGGTTCGGTTCGGGTAGAAACCGATATCCATTCGGGTACCCAAAAAATATAGCCCATTAACTTATATTTATATAACCCAAAGTCTCAAACTCATCTAGACCTTAACCTAACTACCCAAGCCCAACATCCTACCATATATCTCTCTTACCCTCTTATATATTTCTCTGAAACCTAAAGGAAACCCCTAGTTTGTTCTCTCTTTCTCAAAGAAGGAGACGCCGCAGACAACAACTCTCTCTTTCGAACCATTGCAAATCGAAGACAAAGCTTCTTTTGGTGTCTTTAAAACTTGTGTTTTGTGGTATTTTTGAAACATTGAGTGTCTTTTGACTTAATACTTTCCAAGTTTCAACTATTTTTTGAATTTGTAATGGTATGATGACTAATATATGATGTTGCATTGCATACTTGCATAATTGCATTTGAATTTTGCATTATGATTCTATTGTTTTTTCGGTTCCAAAAATACCCGAAACAATTTGGTTCCTACTCGGTTCCAAAATTTATTATCCGAACCGAACCGAACCGAACCAGAACCGAACCGATTTTGATTTGGTTCCAATATGGTTCCTAAGTCTCAGAACCAAAATACTTGGAACCAACCGAATACCCAAACGCCCAGGCCTTCAACTTTAAGAAAATAATATTTTTAACCAAAATCATGTTAATTTCACTATTACTTTAAAAAAAAATTAGTTTAAGTGTTAAGTTTTAAAAACGTCAAACTAACCAAGTCTAGACATCATGTCTTTAGTTGGTCTGCAAGCTTTGGTGTTCGCAGTTCGGCATGTTTTCAAGTAATATAGACTTAACACTTAAACTCATTTAAAAAATAATAATAATAATTTTCACGAGAATCTAAAAACAGATTTAACACTTTATTTAAGAAAATAATATTTTTAACTAAAACCATGTTAGTTTCACTATTACTTTTTTAAAAATTAGTTTAACTGTTAAATTTTAAGAACATTGAAAACTAACCGAGCCTAGGCATCATGTCCTTAGTTGATCCGTAAGCTTTGATGTTCGAAGTTCGGCATGTTTTCACGTAATATAGATTTAACACTTAAACTCATTTTCTTAAAAATAATAATGATTTATTATAAACAATCTCGATAATCAAAATTTCTGGCTCCGCCACTGCTGGTGAGATGGTTTGATGCAAGTGGTTGGCTTGCCTGATGAGACTTTGTTACTTTGCATTTAAAATCGAGCCAATTCCGCCACTTCTTGAGAGTGTCATTGGTAACTTTCTCACATGGAGACTCATCACATAATACAAGAGACAAAACAAACGGCTGCACCTGCATCATCAACTTCTCCGAAGAGGTATATATATCATAACAAGACACATAAAGCTATGATTTTGATGTATAGCCATCTTCCATGTCCCAAGCTAGGTCTGCATCTCCCATCTTCGAGTAGTGTTAATCACAAGGCGGTTGGTGAAATCATCATTATTTTGCAAATTACAGTTTATGAACAATAGCCAAACTATAAAGTCGTAATATGCTTTAAGGCAACAACATTCATGTAAAATCCTTGCCAATTTACCAGTATCTACATATTGTCACAAAACCTCAACTATGATTTTACTATCTAAAGGGTGTGATTGGTTTTGGCCTCGGACTTTGCTTTAAAGCTCGTCTTTTTGCGATTCTTGAACGCATTGCTCATCCCAATAGTAAGGAAACTTCAACCTCGCAGCAGTGTGTGGCATAAACCAGTCTTCGTAGATGAAGCTATTTAAAAACAAACGATTTTCCAAATGATTAGTAAAAGGATACATTCACACATAATATCTATAAGCATATTCCTCAAAAAGGACGTTACATACATTTTAATAGGCGGCCGAGATATGATAACCAACACCTGCAGGTCCTCATGACCGGTGTTCTTGACCTTTAAGAACAGTAATAGATGAGTGAGATTATTCCATATAAGCCAAAAGAATTTTTAACAGAAGAAAATGCTATATTTCTTTGATTTATATGAATATACAACGTCTGCGATTGAGTTTGGTCTTCTAATAGTTGTCTCAAAATGTTACATAGGAAGTGCAGCGTATCTAACCACTCTCAAGCAATCTTAAACAAGATACTATGAGTTGCTCTTATTTGTTCAACTTTACTTTAAGTAACATGTGTGCATACAAAATGGGATTGTTTATCATCAACCTTAAATAGAATTTTCTCTTAATAAAGATTACAATTAATGGAACTCTAATAAACTTGGATTTCAAAGTCTAAGACTCAAGGAAAGAGCCAAATCATCTGAAACAATGTGAGAGGTAGAAAGACGTACCTGATGAGCATCATTGATCGGAATATGAAGTGTACTGTTAGCAAAGATAGGAAATTCAATTGGTTTCCCAGGGAAATTTCCATGTGTTTCAGAAAGATACAGAGTACCACTGCCCTTTAGGACAACAAAGACCTCTTCACAGGAGTGCCTGTGAATTGATGTCTCTGAACCTGGAGCAAATGTTTGAAGCCATATTTCAACCTGAACATCCAAAACAAATCAGTGTTACTGTTATCAAGTATTTGAAGTGTGAGCAAAACAACAAAAACTCAGTCACAAGTTCATGAAACGACGATAGGATACAAATGGGGAGAGTTTTAAAAAACCGCTATCGCTTTGAACATTACCTCTTTCATTCCGTGCAATACGGAGCCAGCAACAGTCATGTGGGAAAGACCTGGTCTTCCATAGTTATCTTGAGGAAGGTCACTAATATTCCTCACGATTGGCAAGCCTATATTCACCATTCAACAGTCAAGAGCCAGTATTAACATGACAATTTCTATGTATCTAAGCTACAGATCGATGAAATTGCAGTGAATCTGTATCATATCATCAACCAAATTTCGCTACAAAGCAATCTAGTCACATTTTAGATCCTAATTTAGAGTAAATCAATCAAAAGTTGAGCACATTTTGGTCCATTTGATTCTACCAGGACATACAATTTCTCAGCTAAGTAAGACCTTATATTCAAATCATTCTAACGAAACTGATACAAACAAAAACAAGAGGAAATCTGCATTCACAGTATACTCTCCTAGGTCGTAACAACAGGCGAAACTCACCATTGATGGGACAAGGAGCTCCTAGAGTAGTTTCAGAGAAACAGAACAGAAGAAGCGCGACGGAGAATACGGCGACGATCGGAGATGACGAAGCGGAACCAACCGAAAGTACGATCATTTTCTCGATGCTTCTTCACCCAACTTAATTTTTCCTCTCTTGAGAAGTCTCAGAACAAACTGTTAAAAGAGTAAAGATACTTCGAAACAGACCCCGCATCTTTTTCTATTTCTCAATTAAACCTAATACTACAAAAAAGAATCAGAAAATACTATCTTTGACTTTGATAATCCAATATTGAAGATTAAAACGACGAAATTAATTAATTACTTATCACAATTTAAAATAATCATACACAAAAATTCTTATGATATAATTTTCATTAATTACCAGTTTATCACATTCAAAGTAATCATAGAGTTATGGGTTTATGTGTTATTTTAGATTATATAGGATAGTAAGGGAAAATGTAAGAAATATAAGGACTATAGCGTCAATAATTCGGATAAATCATTTCAATGGAGAGAGACTGGCTTGTTGTGATGAGGATTTTGATTTTCTGTGAAAAAACCTTACCCGCTCCTCTAAAACCCTCGTCTTCTCCGATATCTTTCCTCATCTCCGGTGAGATTTCAATCACATGCTGATCCAGTTCTACTTATTCCTTTCGATTTCCATAGTTTGCTTCTAATTAGGTTATGTTTTTTTGGTTCGTTGATGTTAACATGAACATGAATGATGGTTTTTTTTTGGAGGGATTGTTTGAATTTTGATAATTTACCAAGTTTTCTGAGCTAATTATACTGTACAAGTTTCTGGGTTAGTCCGAATTGGTATGATTCTCTCGTTGATAATCGTCAATTTTAGTTTTTGCAGGTAAAGAATGAAGATTAGGTTCTGTAGCGGCTTCACAAAGCCTGGGTTTTTGTTAGTTCACTTTGAGCCACCATCGTTTTTTTCCGTTAGATCTCGTTCACTCTCTGATTCCACTTATGGCAACTACAAGAAGAGACCTGGAATTGGAATTGGTACTGTTCAATGCGCTATTGCTAATCGGAGATTTTCTTCACGTTCTGTGGATTCATCACCGAAAAGAGAAAGGTCGTCTCGTCCTTCTTCGAGAAGGGATAGGGATAAGGATAAGGGAAGAGATTCTCAGTCTTTGTATAGTCGTCCTAGTTTGTTAGAGATGAATAAGGAGAAAGCTGCTAATCGTGCTAAGGTTTATGAGTTCTTGCGTGGGATTGGGATTGTTCCTGATGAGCTTGATGGTCTTGAACTCCCTGTTACAGCTGATGTGATGAAAGAGCGTGTGGAGTTTCTTCACAAGTTAGGGCTTACCATTGAAGATATCAACAATTACCCTCTTGTTCTTGGTTGTAGCGTGAAGAAGAACATGGTTCCGGTTCTTGATTATCTCGGGAAACTAGGCGTGAGGAAATCGACTTTCGCTGAGTTTCTTAGAAGATACCCTCAGGTTCTTCATGCTAGTGTTGTTATAGATCTTGCACCGGTGGTCAAGTATCTTCAAGGACTGGATATTAAACCCAGCGATGTACCTCGGGTGCTTGAGAGGTATCCAGAAGTTTTAGGGTTTAAGCTGGAAGGGACTATGAGCACATCAGTCGCTTACTTGGTTGGTATAGGTGTAGCTAGGAGAGAGATTGGTGGTGTTTTAACACGGTACCCTGAGATTTTGGGAATGCGGGTAGCTAGGATAATTAAGCCTCTCGTGGAGTATCTCGAGAACCTTGGTATTCCGAGGCTGGCTGTAGCTAGGTTGATTGAGAAGCGGCCTCACATTCTCGGGTTCGAATTGGATGATACGGTGAAACCAAACGTGCAAATCCTGCAAGATTTCGATGTCAGAGAAACATCTCTTCCTTCTATAATTGCACAGTATCCTGAAATCATAGGAATCGACCTGAAACCTAAGCTTGAGACGCAAAAGAAGCTACTTTGTTCAGCCATTGATTTAAATCCAGAGGATCTCGGCTCTTTGATCGAGAGAATGCCGCAGTTTGTTAGTCTCAGCGAGTCTCCTATGTTAAAGCACATTGATTTCCTCACCAAGTGCGGATTTTCAATCGACCAAACGAGGGAAATGGTAATCGGATGTCCACAGGTTCTGGCTTTGAACCTCGGAATAATGAAACTCAGCTTTGAATACTTCCAAAAGGAAATGAGAAGACCACTTCAAGATCTGGTGGACTTCCCCGCATTCTTTACCTATGGGCTTGAGTCCACAGTAAAGCCGAGGCACAAGAAGATAATAAAGAAGGGAATCAAATGTTCATTGGCTTGGATGCTCAACTGTTCAGATGAGAAGTTCGAACAGAGAATGAGCTACGACACAATAGATATAGAAGAGGTAGAATCTGATCCATCTTCTTTTGACATGAGTACATTAATGCAACCCGAAAGAGAGGAGGAATCTGATTCCGAGTACGAGGAAGAAGAAAATGACGACGACGAGGAGTTTGCTTAAACCTGGAGTTTGCTTAAACCTGGAGTTTGCTTAAACCTGGAGTTTGCAAAAAAATCATTGCACAAAAAGCTCCAAATGCAGACAATGAATTGAAGTACAAGCTTTGTGTCTTGATGGATCATCATCATCATCAGAGGATAATGAAAGATTACTTTGAATATTGGAACAGATTCTTTGTTGATCAGATTATCATTCTCTCTTATCCTTGTAATCGATTCTTTGTTCATCATGTTGTTGTTGTTGTTGATAGCAGAACAAAATGGACCAGAAGATGTAATGACTAAAATACCCTCAGGGGCAAATCAGTAATATTGAGTATTTCCAGCACCAACCCTCTCTTTGTGTCACCAAAGAAAGAAAAAAAAAAAAAAAGCTCACGATCAATTTTGTTTCCGGCTCCTTCATCTTCTAGCCACGCACTTGTTCTCTTTATCACAGTGCCTCTCTCTCTCTCCCTCTCTGTAACACTCTTTATTTATTAATATATATTCATCGATCCCTCTCTCTCTCTCTTCGATTCTCTTCCGATCGTCTTTTTTCCCGCGGTTTCGCTTCCACCGTCCCTTGCGTTCCCGGTCAGTTTACGGCACCGTGTTTTTGTTATTGGTGTGAATGATCAAAAGATTTGGTTTTATCCTGATTCGATTGCATTCCGATTTGAGCTGCTATGTTTGAGAAATCGTGTGTGTTTCCGTGGGGAATTGGGTTGATTTGTTTTTGGGAATTTAATTAGCTTTTGGAATTTAGCCGATTGTTTTGGTGTTTTTTACTACTGGAATTTGGGAATTGTCTCTGTGGGAATTGCAAGGGATATGGTGTATGAGCACTTATCGTTTTTGTTATCTCTGTCTCTTATAACTTGAAACATTCATAATCTCAGGGAATTGTTGCTTAATGGTCCAGAAGCAAGAAGAAATGAATGAGTGTGGTGCTGTAAATGGTGGCAAAGTGGGAACGTCTTCACCACCGCAAGAGAAAGGAAGGAAGAACAAGAGAAAGTTAGCTGATCCTTCTCCACAAAATGCTGCTTCTTTGACTGAATTCCCTCGATATGAGTTACATTCACTCAAATCTCAAAGCCCTTTGTCTGAAAATGACTCGAACGGGCAGCTGAAAGCGGAAGAGTCTGACTCCGTAGGATGGGATGATCCGTTTGCTTGTCAACTCGAACAACTTTTATCATCAAATTTGCTCACCCTCTTCCGTAGTGCAATGAATCAGATTATGGATTGTGGGTATAGTGAGGATGTTGTTCTCAAAGCTATTTCAAGCAGTAGGCTCTACTGTGGGGGAAATGATCTCGTGTCTAACATTGTTAATGATACCTTGAGTATTTTGAAGAGTGGAAAAAATGTTGCTGGTTCGAGAGACTATGTGTTTGAGGATTTGCAACAGCTTGTTGCCTATACTTTGGTAGAGAAGATAAGTCTTGTTAGGGAGGTTAGACCATCGCTTTCAACAGTCGAAGCTATGTGGAGGCTGTTGATGTGTGACTTGAATGTTTTGCAAGCTTTTGAAGTGGAAGGAGATGGATTGGAGGGCTCTTCGGGTTCCAATGCAAGTAAATCGTTGGAATCTCCAGTTTCTGAGTGCAATCCTTCAAAATCCAGTGGCTCGGATAACCCAAAGGCGCCCATATCCAATGCTCAAAGCAATCAGAGTGAGCCAGTCAAATTTGGGAACTTCCCAAATGTAAACAACTCCAAAAATCCTCATGCTAGTGGAGCAACACCTGGAAAAGAGGTATTTTCTGTTTCCACTGCTTCTGGTGAAGGCACTAAAAGTGCATCCCTGACTTCTGTTTCTGATGAAAAATTAGTATCTTGTCGAAAAGGCCGCACCAAAAAAGAAATGGCCATGCTACGGCAGAAATCATGCGTGGAGAAGATTAGAACTTATAGCAAAGGTGGTGGCTATAAGACGGCAAAGTTTGGTGGTTTCCTTGTGGAGAAAAGAAGCAAAGCAGCTTCTGATTTACTGTCCGCACAGGCAAGAAATTCTTCATCGAAGATTACAACAGACGTTATGAAAATTCCTTTAGCTGAGAGTAGCAGCACTCTCTCAAACAATACTAAGTCAGATTCGCCTGCATTAGATGTTAAGGAGCATGTTACTGCATTACCTGCTAATAATGCTCCAGCAACAGTAGCTTCAGAAAAGAAGTCCGGTTCTGAGCCTGAAGAAAAGGCTTCTGTGTCTACAAAGCCAGCACCAGATTACTGTGCTGCAATCCCATACGATGCCTCTCTGGGAATATATGTTCCCCGAAATAAAGGAGATGAATTAATTTTAAAGCTAGTTCCCCGAATGAAAGATCTGCAGAAAGAATTGCAGGATTGGACTGACTGGGCTAATCAGAAAGTAAAGCAGGCTACTGTTAGACTTCTTAAGGACCAACCAGAGCTTAAGGCACTAAGAAAAGAGAAAGAAGAGGCAGAAGAGTTCAGAAAAGAGAAGCAGTTATTGGAAGAAAACACTATGAAAAGGAGATCTGAAATGGAGTTGGCCTTGAATAACGCAACCAACCAGCTTGAAAGAACTAACAACACAATTCGCAGGCTCGAGCTCGAACAATCTCTGTTAAAGAGAGAGAGGGAAGCTGCTAATATAAGAGCTGCTGAGTCTGCTGAGAGCTGTAGAGAAGCAAAGGAGAGAGTGCAAAGATTGTTGAAGAATGCTCAGTCGTGGGAAGGGCAAAAGGTTTTGTTGCAGGAAGAGCTCAAGAGTCAAAAAGACAAGGTGGCAGAGCTGCAGCAAGAAGTTGCCAAGGCAAAAACCCGCCAAAACCAAATTGAGGTTAGCTCCTTTTGTAGACCAAAACCTTTGCACGTTTTAGGTCCTCTCGTCTTCGGAGCTGTATTTTATTGTATGATAACTGATCATATCCTTTCCTCTACAATTCTTTTTTTCAGGTAATCATTTCATTCTTTTGGCTGGAATATTCACATTTTGCGTTTTGCCCAATGCTTTACATTGTTTCAGAGGAACTAGAGATATAGGAGTGAAAAGATGTTTTCATCTGAGAGTTTATCCTATATACTTCTTGTGCCGTGCTCATTAAATCAAGAACTAACCATAGCATTGTATTAGAAATGATGTTTCTGATTAACATTCTAGTCGGTATGATTGTAGTCTTACCTCTTAAGTGTAGAATATGATCAAGATAACTAATGAAACTCAGTTACAGGCTACTTGGAAACAAGAAAAGGCAGCGACGGGGAAACTCACTACTCAAGCAGCTGCATTAAAGAAAGAGAGAGGGAAACTGGAAGAACTCGGAAAAGCAGAAGAAGAGCGGATCAAAACAAAAGCAGAGAACGACGTGAAATACTACATTGAGAACATCAAAAGACTTGACACCGAGATCTCAAAGCTAAAACTCAAGTCAGACTGCTTGAAGATAGCTGCTTTGAAAAAAGGCATAGACGGAAGCAATGACAAGAGCGGAATGAATCATACCACCACCACAAAGGCAAACCCGATGGCAGCAACAAAAGTATGGGAGAATAATCACAGGGCAGAGTCGAAAATCAAAAGAGAGAGGGAATGTGTGATGTGTTTGTCTGAAGAGATGAGTGTGATTTTCTTGCCTTGTGCCCATCAGGTTCTTTGCTCTAAATGTAACCAGCTTCATGAGAAGGAAGCCATGGAGGACTGTCCGTCTTGTCGGGCCAAAATCCAGAGGAGGATTCAGGCTCGTTTCTCCCATGGGTAGAAGCTTTTTTTTCCGCTCGGGTTTTGAATCAATATGGCAATGAAGGTTTTGCTTTGGTTTTATATCTTTGGACTGCTCTATTTACATCTAAATTATACACATCTTGTAAAGAGTGACTTCACAATTTGCTCATTTCTATATTTCCCTCAATAATAAATGGAAGAAGACTTTCCTAAACCACGTACTCAATACATTTTCTTTGAACTTGCATGATTTTTTTAATTCTGTAAGAACTTTTTCTTTTGACTGGTTGCATTATTTGTTGTTTTTCCATTTAACTTATGGAGTGATATATAGAATTTGCTTGAAGTTTTCTAAGATTTTTATTCTTGTCATTTGTAATATCTTTCTTGTTGGCTGTATGTACTAAATCTGACTGACTTCTACTTGATCGTCTGTTTGGTTTTTTGTGTTTGTCGCTATAGTTTCTTCTTTGTGTTTGAATATGGCCTTTGATAAAATCAAAGAAAAACCTTAATTTATATTATTCTATGTTTTGTTCTGTGAGAGTTTACTTTTCTTTTCCTTTGTGATTTGTTTTATATGTATTGCTAACTCTGACTTACTTACAAAACAAAAACAGAAAACCTGACTTACTTTTGCTTATATACTCGTTTTGCAGTAGAGTACTTTGACTTTTAACATTAGAAATGTGGTCGTCTCAGATTCTCACTCAAAGTTAGTCAAAACAGAGACAATAGAAATGATCCAATAATATACCTCATCTTTCGCCATCCATTTTTTCAATTAGCAACCCACATACGCGTTTTGGATAATAACATGGTCGCAACACTGATATAAATTCCTAGATTACAAACATCAATCAATACTTTTTTTTTTCATTTTCGTTTCCACTTTCCAGTATCTTTGAACATTATGAATTTACCGTTTGCTATGCACTGAACTAATGATTATAATATTGTTTGTTTCACATCGATTAACTCATCTTTTGTTTATACCATTAAACTTGTTTGTTTTTCATTTTAGCAAGTGGTGCACTCTCTTGACTCTTTACTCTTGGCCATTATGACATTTATACATATGACCATTGATCGATGTTTTAAGATGTGATAGTTTGGTCAATGATTTACCAGGCAAAAACTTCTATACACCATTTTTGAGTTTGATAGTACTCTCGTGTGTTTGGTCGAAAAGAAAGACGCTTTTTTTTTTAATATGCGATTATGAATACAGAACCAACCATATGTGACGCTTTTTATCATCACTGCGTGCGGATGAATCAACCTTTTAATTAATAATCTTCCTTTATCAAAATACACAAATAGTCGAATTATAATGCATATACAGTTCATTAGGATGATTAGCAAGTATCTTAATTTATAGGAAATAATTGTCGAAAATTGATAATGGGGGGATATCTTAATACAAATCGCTCGTCTTTGTGGGTGGCCATTGAGTTAAATGGTCCAACCATGATGAATTTTAGGGTTTGATACGTCCTAAAACATATGCACACAAGTTAAAAGTATTATTCTAAGTTGAAAATTTGCTATCTTTGTGATCATATTATTGCTATATACTTATTAATGGTATAGGTCGAATTTGTAATCATTGTAAAGGTAATTATTAGAAGCCGTAAGTTTTTCGTAATGTGTAGTAAGAGTGGAGCATAAAGAAAAAACAGCAGATGGAGTGAAAATGACTGGTCATACTCATATAGCATCACTAACATTCATCTCATTAGCTCTCTATCATCACCATTATCATCAACAACATCATAGTTCTGTTTTTTTTTTTTTTTAATATATTATATAAACTTTGGTGAGCATATCGGTGCTATGTGATCATGACGACTGAGAGAATACAAACACACATTCCAACACGTGTGCAAATTCTCTATCGCTGGGACCATAATTTTGGATAGTTAATAACAATTTCTCTTTGGCTATGATCACTTGGAATTTTCTCTCTTGGCTTCCTTACAAAACTAAAGATCCACTTATAATCTAATCCGATACAATAGCATATGATATTGAATTAAAACCATATATATATATATATATATATATATATTGATAGCTCAATTGATAAACGAATTTAAAGTTTAGCCTAAGAAGATAACACATATAAACCAAAAAAAATTGTATACCAAAACACAAGAATTTTTGTTATTAACTTGCGGTCATAAGAAAAAAAAAATATATATATATATATATATAGCTGACTTGTCATTGGACATAAAGCCCAAAGTACAGACATGTCACGTGAGTCACGACCCCACCACCACGAGTCAACAACCACCCTTAGCTCCGAAGATGCTGATCTGTCACTCCGAACCTAAGGCTCGGACAGCCGTTTTCCCTGTTGCATATTCCCGACATAAAATTACATTATTTTTGTTTTTCACTGACACTGAAACGAATCGCAAATGTAAACAATAAAACCCACTTCTCTCACTCGTAGCATTTATGACTCTTTCTTTCTTCACAAAGCCACCCTGAAAAAAATCTCAGAAACAAAAAGCAACAAGGAAGAAGAAAGTATATTCAGCTCTTGATTTCGCTTCCTTCTTAAGCCATTTTGATTTCTCTTTTTGTCTCTCTCTCTCTCTTCCAAGAAATCTTCTTTTATATTTCTTCAATCTCCCTCCTTTTTAAGTCACTTTGACGTCACTAGTATCAGAATCCGCCATTAAAACTCCCACAAGAACCCTTGATTTCTATCACACAATCATCTCTTTCCGACCCATTTCCCAACTTTAAATCTTGTCTCTGTTTTTACTCCTCTGAAGCTGTAACGGCTACAATGAAATTTGCTACTCTGTTTTGGGTTTTGCTGCTTCTTCTTCGATTCGGTTTATTCGTGAAATCGATCATCGTACCAGTTGATTTCTTGGCTCTACAAGCTATTCGTAAATCGCTCGATGATTTACCAGGTTCAAATTTCTTCGATTCATGGGATTTTACCTCTGACCCTTGTAACTTCGCCGGAGTTTACTGTGACGGTGATAAAGTAACTGCGCTTAACCTCGGTGATCCAAGAGCCGGTTCACCCGGTTTATCTGGTCGGATTGACCCGGCTATTGGAAAACTCTCTGCTTTAACGGAGCTCTCGATCGTACCGGGTCGGATCATGGGTTCGTTACCGCACACAATCTCGCAGTCAAAGAATCTTCGATTTCTCGCAATCAGTCGGAATTTTCTCTCCGGTGAGATTCCGGCGAGTCTCGGCGAGCTTCGGAGACTCAAAACACTTGATCTGAGCTATAACCAGCTAACCGGGTCGATTCCTCCGCCAATCGGGTACTTACCGGAGTTATCCAATCTGATTCTATGTCACAATCACTTGAACGGATCAATTCCTCAATTCCTCTCACAAAGCTTAACACGAATCGATCTCAAACGCAATAATCTCACCGGCATAATCTCTCCGACGTCTCTTCCGCCGTCGTTACAATATCTCTCACTCGCTTGGAACCACCTAACCGGACCAGTAAACCGGGTTTTACTCAGATTAAACCAGCTCAATTACCTCGATCTCAGCTTAAACCGGTTCACCGGTGCAATCCCCGGTCAGATCTTCACCTTCCCGATCACCAACCTCCAATTACAACGCAATTTCTTCTACGGCGTGATTCAACCGGTGAATCAGGTAACAATTCCGACCGTCGATTTAAGCTATAACAGATTCTCCGGCGAGCTTTCTCCGCTTCTCTCCAACGTACAGAATATCTATCTAAACAATAACCGGTTCACCGGTCAAGTACCAGTTAGCTTCGTAGATCGGTTATTGGCATCGAATATACAAACACTATACCTCCAACACAACTTCTTGACGGGAATACAAATTAGCCCCGCGGCGGATATTCCGGTGAGCAGCTCGCTTTGTCTGCAATACAACTGTATGGTGCTACCGGTACAGACGCCGTGTCCGGTTAAGGCCGGTTTGCAGAAAACCAGACCCACAACGCAGTGCAACGAGTGGCGAGGATAAAGGCGTAATTTCGTGAATTTGTGGGATTTCGTGTCTTTCTCCGGTTATTTTGTTACGATAACTTTCGAGTTTCGAGGGTAGCAAAAAAAACGATTTGTTTATTCGTTGGTGACTTTGTGAATTGGTTAATGGTATTAATGATGATGTATGTCAACTTTAATTACATCTCATTATATAATGCTTCGAATAAAATGTGCAACATTAGCATTATATTTTTATAAAATGTTCAGTTTGATGGAAATCTTGAATAAAAGTAGAATGAATTAAGGAAAAAAAAACAATACTGAATTTTTACCCTATAAAGGAATGTCTGAAACCAAACCATGACATAAGTGTATATAATTATTACTACATTGCATACCATTATAATAACACATACATATATGACCTTTTAAAACATGGTTTTATATCACAACAAGACACTTCCCACACACACACACCAAAGCCCCTTTTTTATAACTTAAAAGCCTTATTTGATGATTCTCACTTGTGTTGTATTATTCATCATCATCTCCTTCTCTACATTTTATATATATATATATATATATATATATATATATAACTTACAGAGACCATATGTATTTGTAGAGAGATGCATCAGTAGTAGAAATGTCTCCTTCGAACTCTCTTCTTACTCATAATCGGCGCCTCACCGCTCCCTGGAAATTCCCACTTCACAAGATCTCCGTCCCACGAAGAGCTTATAAGGGTTGGGTAATACGGGTGCCAATTACAGTCTCTTACAGGTGAGCTATGGTGCTTTAGCACTGCCACTTTATCTCCACTTACCTAAGAACAAGATAATGAATGAATCCAAGATCGGTCAAAACAGAGACAATAGAGATTCAGCACACACCAATTAGTATTAGTATGAAACATAAACCATAAAGTGCTACACTTTTTCATGTGACCGTCTCTTAAATGTGTTTATGAGGATTTAGGGTTTACCAAGTCATATATGTAGACGGAACTGTCGTTAGATCCTGTGTAGATGTATTTTTGGCCAGTACTGTCAAAAGAAAGAACAAAAGAAGCCACCACAAGAATTAGAAAAATACGTAAAGAGGGTTCTCCTTTGTCAGGAGGCTTGGGATATTATAGACTGACCTATGCGCTGGAGAGAAGTAACAACGGATGAGAGTACGCAAGACTGAGTGACCTTTATATGTTGACACTGACTGATCGAGTGGGTGCTTTAGATCTCTTGCTTCAGTAGGATAATCCATCCATCTGTAATCCCATTCATAGTTTCTTAGCACCTCATGCCTGTAAAATAGAACAATAAGTTTCATCAACGAATTCTTTGTGAGATATCAACAAACAAGATGCGACCAATAATGCTTCAGGACGAGTACAGTTTCATGTAGAAAATAATTACCTTGCAGGTGCGCTTGAGGACATTTTTCTGATATCCCACAATTTGATAGTTTGGTCTTTACCATTTGATATAAAATAGCGACCATCTCCACGGCTATCGATAAAGGTAACACCTTCCAGATGTCCCACTAAAACACCAGCTGGCTTATCTCTTCCGATGAAACAACGCCTATCCCACACCTATTTGTGTAATGAATTTTGAACAAGATCCTGTTACAACTTTGCTTATAAAGGCCAGAAATTTATTGTACTGTTGCAGCAACGAAGACACTCACCTTGCAGAGGTTATCATCACTTCCAGATAAAATCAGGTTTCCACTTTCATCAGCAAAGCACACAGTATTTACATCAGACTGCAGAAATGGAGAAAATGCTATTAGTGCTAAAACGATAACATCACCACCAACACAGGTAGAAATCTTAGGAGAAATTGCCTCAATCGATAAAGGAATTTTACCGTGTGTGCAACAGTCCGGAGTGAAACTCGATTTGCTTCGAGATCATAAACGTAGATGGAATCATCACTGCTCCCAGCAACAATGTCTCGTCCATCGGTTGAAAATTTCACAGAGAATATCCCAAAAGAGTAGCCTCCATCTTCATCAGAAGAGAAGTCTAATCCATCATGGATCTCCTGCAAAAGACATGGACCTAAATAATTTAACCTCATTGATAAGATATTGAAACAGAAATTAAAACATGTGAATAAAGAAAATGAATATCAAGCAGTGATTCGATCCCATAATAAAAAAATTCTCTTGCTAAACAACATATTGTGGTTCCATACCGTAACATTTGCATGAGACTCGGTTGTACCGGACCCAACATCAACAATGTGAACAATAGGTGACATGCTTGCGTAAACCTGCAATATCGAAATAATTCATGATTCCTTTCTTTGAAATATAAGCATAGAGTTTTGATCTATCAAGAGACCTCAAAGACTAGACAAAACCACTTACTCTGCATCACTATTAAGATATAATCTGAATCGAGGTCAGAGTTTGCATTAAGAATCATATGGAAAATGAGCAAGTACTAAGTAGTAGTTGAAAGATACAAAACTTACCAGATTTCGCTGATCAGGGGATAGAGAAGTATCAGTAACAGTCCAGCGCAAGCTTTTTGCAAGTATATCCTTTTGAACTTTCCAGCCCTTCTCTACATTGTAAATCCGAATACGGCTACCCTGGAAAAAATGATTTGATTAATGCAGGTATGTAGATAGATTCATCCAGAAAATGCTTCTCAACTCAGGAAATAGAAAAACCAGGACATGATGCGTAGAGAAGTATCATCTGTTTTCTAAACTGGTAAACAATAATTACCAACGATGAAGAATTTACCTGAAACCCAGCAATAAAGAGAGAACCATCAGTTGAAAACTGAGAGACATATGCTCGGCTGTCCATTTGATCTACAAGCCAAGGACCTTTTATAGGTAAATATCTGCTTAACATATGGCAACAATCAGCGGCGGAAAACCTCCCTCTTCCAGAGAAATTACTTTCTCGACCAGCCAACATCCTCACAGTAGACACAGGTAACTGATGTCTCCCAGGGACTTCACGGCTATACCGTTGATGAGGACTAGATTTCAATTTAGTAACCTGGCTGATTTCATGGTCTAAATCTGCCAAATGTTCACTTGATCTGTGACTAGCACTACTACTACCAACTCCACAAAAGTCTTTTCCAGTATCACATAGATCGGATTCTATCTCAAGTCTACTCATTGCATAACCCATTTCGTCAGTATCAATCTCACTTGGTCCAAAAAACATTATAGCAGATAACCACCATTGATTTTCTCATATACCAAAGTTTCATCCACAGTTCTCTTGAACCATAGCTTGCCTGCAAAAGCCAGTAAAATGTGCCAAGTTTCATCAATAATACATTCCACACTACTAAACCCTCTTTGCCATTTAAACCCCATTATGGAAGAGCTATATCAAAGAAAAACAAACAACGATTACGATCATACCACAGTATTATGAGTCATCAGTTTAACAATCAATCTAATGAAAGATTTTATAAACAAAGAGAAGCTGGAAATCACAAAACCCTAAATCCAAACAAAATCAAAGTCGTCGGCTTTATCTGCGTACTGAAGAATGCACAGAAACAGTATCAACCCTAATAAATTCAGCATCGAGTTAAAAAGAAAAATGCACAAAAGTTGAAATCACCAGAGACATAGAAAGAACCCAGAAACAGTATCACTCCAAATTGAGAACTTTAGGAGAGCTATGACCTTAAATCGGATCGTGAAATGTGAAGAACCAGAAAAATAAAGCTCAGGTTTTTAGCTAATTTACCCGTACGAAGGAGACAATTCGAAACAGTACGCAAAAGTTCCCCTTTGAATTTCTCGAGAAAAATTTCGACTTTTTCAATGAGCGGATATGGTTTTTTCGTCGACGTGTGTGTCAATGAAGCGTGCAAAGCTGTGTTGCCACGTTTGACTTTGTACATTGAGCAACTGTGGTCACTCCAAATCATTGCTATTAAACCAAGTATAATACTACTAATTTATATGTGTTGTTTGATCCAAATTCAAAACCTCATATTCAATGTATAATACAATCATACTAACCTCAATTCTGTGGAGTATGATAGTTACAAGTATATCTGGTTCGTATCACAAACAAAACACATCACGCTACAATAATCTTAATGGCAAGAGACTGTCCCTTCTTCTTCAATGTCCACACTTGCTTATGGTAGGAAAGTGAAGTTGTAGTTGACAGTCAAAAAGAGATTCATAAAGTATTTGCTTAGTGTATGGAGAAATTAACTTGAAATGACAGTAGAAGAAGCAAATGTTGCATTGTTCGAGCATTTTTATACAAAGCCATAGAATAGTTTGTTATTTACAATATAACAGAATACCCAAAGATCTTTTCTTTTCTTTTTTGTTTTTCAACCTGTACAGACAATGTGGTAATCATATGTATGTGGTAAACGAAACGAACCAATACCTAAAACATCAGCAGATCTCACACACCATGAACACCAAATTTTATTCTAGATGATGTGATGAGAGTTTTTTTTACACCTACAATCGGATGGTGCACATAACCGTGGTCCTGAAATCAAGTTGGTGATTAAACGGTGGCTTTGAGACAACCGATCTCCAAGTTTTCTTCTTTGGATCATACATATGAATCATCAAAGATCCAGCTTTCCTCTGTTGTCTAGTATGCCTTGTGTCCATCAGATTATAACCATCCAAAAGAATCATAACAAGTAATTCACCATTCAGTGCAACAAAACCAACCGGTTTGTCGTAATGAGCTTTCCTCGGGACGCTTGACTCCTTTCTCCAACGATTCAAACCCTTCTCATACCTAAGAATCCAATCCTTATCCAACATGAAAAACACCGGCTTTCCACAATCAACAGCAACAATCTTCCCTAGCTTAGGTCGCACTTCTTCTCCCCACATATCTCCAACTATCCTCCATTTCTCACCACCATCTACTCTCAAATCCATCACTGCCGCGTCTTTATAGTACTCATCAACAGGAAGAACCCCTGAAACCGTCCTCGATCCGCCATAGCCACCCATTACCCAAAACTCTCTATCTTCCTCCTTCTCCTTCTCATTACCAACCAAGAAACCAAGACACCCTGCTCTAAACCTAGGCAATTCAACCATTTCTCTCCACTCATCTTTCTCAACATCATAAATCTCCACCGAACTCATTCTACTTCCAGCAGCACCAAACAAAGTGTGCCGTGATCCTCCTCCCGCCACAATAATCCGATCAGACGAACCAGGCATCGCAGCGCAAGCAAAGCTACCACGTGGAGACACCATCGGAGAGAGCCGTTCCCAAACCGATTTCACGAAACTGTAACGGAACACAGAAGAAGTAGGCAAAGGAACATCCAGAGGATAAGACCTAGTATCAAAAGCAGAGCCACCGAGGACATAAACGTAAGGACCAAGAGCTACGGCTACGAAATTGCAGAGACCGTAAACGTGAGGGTTACAAGGCATAAGAGGAAGCGATCTCCAAGAGAGAGTCACTGGATCGAAGAGAAACGGAGGCGAAATCGAAGGATCCTGAGGGAAGATACAAAGGAGATGCGAGAGATTGTTGATGTTGCTGTTGTCTCGGCTATGGCGGAGTGAAATTAGGGTTTTGGAAGAGAGAAAAGCGTACCATGATTTACAGGTCGGTTTGAGACGAGAGATGTGAGGGTAAGGGACGAAGGAGAGAATCAGTCTCGCGACGTCGTTAGATAAGCCTGGAATTAAGGTCAAGCTTGGATCGATTCGAGGCTTAGGACGAAGAAACGACGATCGCGACGAGGATGACGATGAAGATGAACACTGTAACCGCGACGAGAATATAGGCAAAGGCATGGTTTATGCCGGCGGGAAGAAACTCCGGCGAGATTTGTCAGTGAGATTGATCGATCAATGAAACGGAATCATCATTGCGAAGATGGAAATTGATCAGAGACTGATTCGGATTCAGACAGAGGGAATCTGGTTTTGAAATTTGAAGATAAGACAAAAATTTATTTTGGCTGTGTAATTAATTAATTAATTAATCTCACCCACGTAGTAGTTTATGATTAGTTGAGACATAGAGAAGGTTAATTACTAAAATTACTCGAATCAGAACGAAGACGACTTTATTAAGACATCATTGCAAATCTTTTAGTGCGTTGAATTACAATTTAGTAATTTACAAACATCTTTCTAAAATGGGAAATTGAGAAAGGGAATTATCATCTGTGTTTACAATTTTCATATAAAAAAAAACGTGGTATTGTAGTATATTGTGTTCAACAATTTACATAAGAAAACAATTGGACCTAAAAAGTGCTTGACAATCTGTTAAAAAGGCTTCGATTACTCAAAATCCAAATGTATTTTTTTGAATGAAATGGAAACAAATTTTAGATGAATGCAAGTGACCTTGGGGTCAAAATCTGGTTGAAGGTGATATGATCCGAATTTGGAGTATTGGGATTCTTTTCTTTTGTTGACAGCAGGAGTATTGGGCTTAAATTAGGCTTTTATTGTGTTAGTAGTTTAAGCCCATTTGATTCGGGAAAAATGTCGTTTAATTACTGAACTTTCAAAAAATGGCCGTTTAATACGTGAACTTCTCATATGGCCAGTTTAAACACGAACTTAACGTTGACCGGCCATTTTAACTAAATTTCTTCGTTGACTACGCCAAAACGCCACACCGTTAGCAGTCACTAACTGAGCCGATAACGGCTGTTAGCACCCGTTAACAGGTCTCCGTTAGTCCCGAAAACGACGTCGTTTTACTCTTAAATTCTAGCAAAACCTTTGGATCATCAGCACCTCTACCAGCTTCCTCTTCTCTAACATTGTCTTCATCTTCGTCATCAGATGACAAAGGATCTGGAATCTTGTCTTCGTCCCATATATTATCTCCACTATCCGAGTCACTACCAGCTTCATCTCCTCTAACAGCCTCTGGGAAATCTTCTGCAATGTTGAAGTTAACATCTTCTTCAACAGCTGCTGCATCATCATCGCTATCTCCACCACCTGTTGCATCAACACCACCATTATCATCATTACTTTCACCACCTGCTACATCGAAGTCTCCGACAACCATCTTTGATTCGTTTCGAGCTTCAACTCCAACATTATCATCATTACCTTCACTAACATCACCGCCTACTGCGTCATCAACAGCATCGCAGTCTTCATCACCATACACCGCACAATCATCTTCAATGTCAGGGACGGGGTCTGGTTCCTTTTCAGGATCTTCATCATCCTCTAAGACCCTGACTTTTCTTCGTTTTCGACGCCTGCCTCGACCACGAGCTTTGTTTCCACCACCTGTCTCTGAAATGTCTTCCGCCGGTGGAGCTTCAACTCCGTCTCCGACAACCATCTCTGATTCACCTCGAGCTTCAACTCCAGCACCCACAACACTCTCTGCTTCGCCTCGTATAGGAGATCCAACACGCACTATGACGCCATTCTTCCTAACTAATACCATTAGAGAAGACAATTTGAAGATTTCGGATTTCTGGGATTAGGGTTCTTAATTTGGGGATTTTGAGAAATTAGGGATTTCAAAATCGATTTTGGGGATTTAGGAACTTTGCTTCTGGCTAAAACGACATCGTTTTCGGGACTAACGGAGACCTGTTAACGGGTGCGAACAGCCGTTATCGGCTCAGTTAGTGACTGTTAACGGTGTGGCGTTTTGGCGTAGTCAACAAAGACATTTAGTTAAAATGGCCGGTCAACGTTAAGTTCGTGTTTAAACTGGCCACATGAGAAGTTCACGTATTAAACGGCCATTTTTTTAAAGTTCAGCAATTAAACGACATTTTTCCCCGTTTGATTCCATATCTTCTTCTTTTTCTACTTTATTTTTCTCCTTACATTCAATTCTCTTTTTCTTATCTTTTGTTCTGTGATGATCGATTCGATCCCATAAAGTACAGTATCATCATCACAACGATAAAGTGATTATGATTTCTCAACTAAAACCTTAAAAAGAATATTTTATTTGTATTTTTGCGGGACATGCTTTTTTATCTTATGGGTATTACCAACTACAGTATATTAATTATTGCAACATGGGAGTTTCTAATTGATGGAAATCGAATGTAGGATTATTATACGTCTCTTTTTTCTTTTTTTTTTCTTTTTGAATTAATTCAAATTCAAAATACTGTTTTAGTTTACAATGGATATGTAATCTTTTAGCTAAGAGTTTTGAAAAATAAAACAGAATTAAAAAGCAAAGCTGAAACGTTGTTGAGAGGTCTAAGGTGAGCCCCTCGTCGTAAGTATAATCTTCTTGGCTGCGGATGGAACTGAATCGGTTTTGAATGTTCTTGTCTATAAGTTTTTTGCAAGGCGGGGTGTTCACGCCATATGTGATAGATAGAGGTTTGGATGGTGTGGTTGTATCCGATCATATATAGTTAGAGGTGGGTGAGTTAAGTGATCAGTTGATTCCATTCTAGAGTGAATTGAAGTTACTTCCAAGCATTGTAAAGGACCATATTTCCGTTGAACTACACAAAACACACTCAGTTCCAATTCCGGATTCGATCCCCAGTTGATAGTCAATTATGTATGGCTAGCCATGTGAAGAAAGCGTATTATTACTCGTATCAACAGTTTATGCGTAAACTTTTTTGCCCCAATGAGTTCTGATGGGATCTTTGGTTTGGTCCATATTCTTTTCATATCTGCATATGTCAGTACAAATAAGTTAATTTTTTCTCTATATATTATCGGTAGAAACCGAGTATAAGACCTGGTCACGTTACCAACACCTTATATCAACACCACCTTGGATGAAGAGGTTTACTTGTCTCAAAGCTTAAAATAAAATAATGAAGCTCCAAATGGGGTAAAAGTGAAAACGGATGTCTCTTCACATTAATTTTTCTAGATTATTGTATAAAAAGATTATTCAACGTAACTTGAATTCGGTAACTCAACTAACGTACCACCTGACCTTTTAAAAAGAAAGAGTTGGAAAGATTTCGAATTCGAACATATCGTAGTCGTACTAGTGCTTAGCCAATTCGATTTTCGTAAACCAATAATTTGATATCTACCTCTTGAGTTGAATATGT